CGGAGGGGGGAGTCCCAAACCAAGACAGATGTGAGCACACTGAGCATGGCAAACAGACCACTGAACCATTCATTTGAAAGCCAAGTAGTGGTTTTGAGAACAAAAGAGCAGACACAAGTAACATTTTGTCATATCAGGTTCATTAGTTTTTACGAGCTAAATACTTCTAAGAGAACAGTAGCCACCAATGACAAATAAGCCATTCCTTTGAAACCAGACATGGTCATACAGCCCCCGGGTGTGGTTTGCTAATTGTTGGTGGGTAGAAGACGGCTGCCATCCAGGACTCCCGCAGTGTCCATGGGACTGGCCACTGGAAAAAGGCAGCGGGTATTCTAAGAACAGCAAGTGTCACAGGCACTGTAGGGACATTACAGGTGAGCAGGCAAGGGAACAGGGCAGCATGTTGTAGGCACTTAAGGCTCCGAGGGGGACAAGCACCGGCCATGCCACTTGAGCCAAAGCCACCGGGACAAATAGTGAAACTATACTGGGTGTGTCACTACGTTCGACCGCATGGAGGCAAGGTGCTTTGCCATGGGAAGCAGCTGTAAGCTCAAGGCAGCTGGCCACAAGCCAAGGTTTGCAGCATGAACAGGAGGAATCCCACTTTGTCAGGTGATCTGGGAGGCAGTTTAGAGGTCAACGTCAACAGGCGGGGGGGGGGGGGGGGGGGGGGGAGTGGTGGTGAACACGCAGGTCAGGGAGCTCCATGGTAGGGAGTACTGGGGAGCCTGGCTGGGAGATGCTGCCAAGGTCCTGACTTTAGGACCTGTCTCTGCAGATCAGATGTTCCAGCTGTGAAATACCACATATATCCCCTGCCCTGCTTATTTTTATATGATGGTGGGGGGGCATGCTCCCGCTGAGGGATGCACCCATGGTGGTGGGGGGGTTGATCTCCCTTATCCCTGCTAGATTGGTGGGAAAAAAACCTTGCAAATGCCACGGCAGTGAACACACAGCCCATTCCTGGGGTAGAAAAGCCCTTATCTCTCCCTTTGCAGGAAGGATGCAGAAGCATTTGTGTCTGGGGACCACTTGGGAGAGGTTCCAAGATGCACATAGTGAAAAGCAGCCTTTGTACCCTACACGAGCAGGTCCTTGTGTGGTGGGTTCTAGCGGGGCCGGTGAACGGTGGAGGCTGCACACAGATCCGGGGAGACTCCTTTCCTCACTTCCTTTCAGAGGGGGTCCCTGCCAAGGGAGAGAGGAGGTTCCCCTCCTAGCGAGCAGGTGCACCCCCCTCCAACCCACAGCAGGTAGTCTGAGAACTCGTGACTCTATTCCCCTGGTCACAGCAGCAGAGGACAGAGGATGTCGTTTGTTCTGTCCGCGGGCAGGGGACAGATGGAGAAAACGACGCTTATTTTCAAATCCAGTGCAAATCTGCCTAAGGGTGGGACCCAGTTTCCTGGGATCTGGAGTTGATCTCAGCGGAGGGGGCCCCAGAGGGACGATGCTGCCCTGTGTGTGGCGGGAGGTTGGACCCTTGGGACACTTAGTAGCAGACTCTCCCCCCTACCCCAAACCCCGGGGCAAGGAAGCCAACCGCAGGTGCTCGGGCCAGGGTCCCACGCTGCTGCTGGGAACCACTCTATCACACCACCGGTGTCCGAAAGCTCAGGGGCTGGCCTCTAGCGCCAGCGATGCCTGGACAGCTCAGTCTGAAGCCACCCTGACATATGGCAGGTTCAGAGGTTGGGGAAGCAGCAGGCGAAGACATGTCCTCCCCGGCACGCCAGGGAGGGGGGTAATGGTTCACGGACCAGAGTCGCTGTTGCTGCTTCTCACCAAGCTCTGAAAGGACAGGAACCCCAGCCGATGTGGTGCTCACTCTGCTGCCCTGGGATGCCTGGCATGCGGGAGGCTCTCAAAAAAGGCTCTTTGAATGTGAATGTCGGCGCCTGAAGATCCCTCAGGGAGATCTAGACCAGCTTTTTCCCAGCTGAATAACCCTGGGGAGAGCCGCCTTCTGAATCACCTCATGGGAGACTGACAATATACATTTACATATTCATGACTCTGAGTCTGTCTTGACCTAAAGAAATCTGTTTTCCTTGGGTTTCCCCAACATATTTGCCTGCTGGACTGTTTCTCATGAATTGCTAATTCACATATCAACCAAAGAATAGTGTTGGAAATGCTGATTGAGTGTAGCCTCCTCATACTACAGAAGATGAAACAGGGCCCAGAGAAAGCAAGCAACTTGCCAGAAGCCACACAGCATACTGATGGGAGTTCGGACCAGCACCGAGATTTCCCAGCTCTCCTCAGTGTTCTTGCCACGGGAGGCCTGCCTCTGTTGGAGGGGACCACTGGGCAGGAAGGATGCAGATCAGGGGACTCTCCTGATCCTTCAGTCAGGCAGGGCAAAAACGTTTCCTTGCATCACCTAGAAAGCAAGGGCTAGTTGAACAAAAAATCCAGATTAATCCAAGTTAATCCCAATTGCAGGAGCAATGTGTCCCTCCTTGATAATTTCTGGAACCACCTTAGCTTCAATGCCTTCGCTAATTACCTAAGGTTATTTTTTCCTTAAGCCTTTCTCTTTGGGCTTGGCAGTTCAGGTGGCAGTTTCTGGAGACTGTGTGTCATCTCATATGTCTGAAGTTCTTTAAAAAATGTCTCTTATCCAGATGTCCACCAAAGATCTTGGGTTATTTGATATCAACGAGGATTTGTTGCTCTGCTCCTTTGGATGCTAGGCAGGGGAGCCAAGGGGTGTGGAGGTCAGCGGTCCAGATTTCCAGCTGCTGCTCCTGGAGCAGGATCTAAGGACATTCCCTGGAGAAGGGGGCGGTACACCCACCACCGTGCTGGGTTCTCGGTTACTCCTTCTAGTTCCACAGTGGGCCACCTTGAACCTGCTCATTGTCCACACTTGGAGACCCAGAATCAGGTGGCTTGGGAAGCTGGATGGCTCAGTCCAACCTCATCATGTAAGAGGAGAGGGGCCCAGAAAGCACACGCAACGGGTTCAAGGTCACAGGTGGTGAGCACAAGTCCATGGTCACTAAGAGGGAACCATCTCACAGGCACAGAATCTGGGAACGTTGGGACAGGGGCAGCCTCCCAGCTCCGGTGCACCCGGCAACGGGAAGCCACTTACCCACACGAATGCCAGGTGTTCCCACTCTCGGTCTGATAGGTACTTCTGCTAATGGTGGGCCAAGGAAGGGAGGTCACACCCCTTTCTCCTTACCCTGAGGCTGGGACTGCTGGATGCACGTGTTACTTTTGTGCTGGGAGTCACACAGGGAGAGGACAAAGCTGTCCTCACACCTGCGTGAGGCCATGAGCGAGACAGCCTAAAACCCTTATCTCTCTCAGTGGCACTGATTTCAAGCCAAAAGCCCAGACTGTCATCTATGTGCAACCTGGGAACCTGGTGGCCATGGTGCTGGTGGCTACCCGGCTGGGTTCCACCCCAGAGGGTGATTCTAAAGCAGAACACCCAGCCAAGCAGCAGACCGGACTTGATACAAAGCCTCCAGCCCCTTCCCTTCCCTTGGGATTGGATCACCAGGGTTTTGGAGCCTCAGCAGGACCGGTGTCGAGAAAGCCCCTCCTGGGAGACTTTATAGCACAGGGGGAGGGTAGAGAAGGGCCCCCAACCCAGGGCCAGTGTGTGGGGGTGCAGGACACCATATCCTATCCAGGCTGCCTCTTCTCTACGCCTGAAGGGCATTCTGTTGGAGCCCCTCTCCCCCTCCGCCCCTGATGAAGACTGGTCATTTCTCAAGGCTGGGACGTGTGCCAGAGCCCACAGCACCCCCCACAGGTCACTTTGCTCTGTGGGGACCTCCAGATCTCCCTGGAGAGGGACTGGCTTTGTGCCAGGGCCCTGGGGCCCAAAGGGACCACTTGGTGAAGCGATGTTAAGGCCTTGGAGAGGGGGTGTGAGGGTTCAGCCTGGGGTCCCAGACAGCTGGGCTTCCAGAGGAGTCTTCAGGGCAGAGGTGACTGGGCCCCCAGGGTGTCCGAGGCTGCGCCCGTCACCACGGGGTCCAGGTGAGCTTGAGGGGGGAAGCCCCCAGGGGCTGTCTGCTGGACCATTCAAGCGTCCTTCATTTCTTTGAATAAAACCCCCTCCCAGCTAAAGCTGCTGGTCCCAAACGCACAGCCAGGCTCTGTCTGGTTCTCTGTTGCAAAGAGGGCCCCCGGGATCCCCAAATAGAGCTGACGCAGGGCCCCCTCGTGCCCCTCAGCACCAGCGGCCTTCGCCTTGCACAATTCCTGAAACTGTGCAAATTATTTAAGTTGTCGCCTGGTTTCTCCACCGGCTTCTGTGACCATGTCTATTCTGTTCAGACTATTTTAGCACAGACTGAAGCTTGGTTTTAATACCTCAGCGGCAGGTGTCCCTCCTGGGCCTCCCTACCTCCTCCTCTTAGACTGGAGATCACTGACAGTCTGCAAACTGACGTACACTAGGACTTCCAAGCCCTGGGAAAAGGCCCCTGAGTGACTTTGTAGCATGTTGGGAAGGGGAATTCTCCAGTGGGTTTGTGAGTGGGATTTGGGGGTGCCTGACCGTCACCACGGAGACAAGGCAGTGGGCAGAGGTGGTCTCCCGTGCTTGGACGTGAGCTTGCAGGTCTGGTTACTGGCAGTCTTTGGGTTCGCTCATATCTCCCTTTTATTTGCGGGGGGCATTGCCCATGGGATCCTCTTCCAGAGAGAACTGGGATGTAAGCTGTATTTTCTCTCTCCCCACCCCATGGCTGCCTGGGCATTCTTTGGAGCTTCTAGAGATCTCGTCCAACCTCCCTTACCTCACGCACTTATTTTACAGGTGGGGAAACTGAGGCCCAGACAGGGGGCAGGAGCTGGCCTACAATCGCACAGCTAGGTGGTAGCAAAGTTGGGATTGAACTCAGGCCTCCTGACTGCCAGTCCAGGGCTCTTTCTAGCAACCAGTATATTGGCTACAGCTGCAAAAGCTCCCCCGTGCCAGGCCCGCACCGTCCCCTTCCCCTCCGCTCTTCCCACCCCTACTACACGTAATTTGGGTTATAGCAAAGCATGTTGAACTCCAGGTTCTCGTCCCAGTGCCGCAGGAGCACGAATAGCTGGCGGCCGGCCGCCCTGAGGGTGCCCCGAGTGCGGCCCTCGGGGACCTCCTGCTGCTCCAGCCAGGAGTTCGCTTTGGCGGCCACCAGCTCCCACTCCACAAAGTAGGAGGCTGAGCTGTGCTCTAGCCACGCCAGCGCCACCACGGTGGCCCACAGCTTCCCCGTGTGTTCTACCACAGCCCTGGGCTCCCAGCCTGGCTTGCCCTCTGCCAGAGGCTCCGGGGAGAAGCTGTCGCAGGAGGGGAGCCGCGCGGAGGAGCTGGTGCACCCCTGGGGACTCGGGGTCTTAGACTCCGGCTGGCGGGCGGTGAGGGACACTCGGTGGCAGGTGAAGGGTGAGGTCCACTTGAGCTTCTCCATGGGGATGTGGACGGCCTCACAGAAGGCTTGGTTGAGCAGGAAGGCTCCGGAGGCCAGCTGCAGAGACACCTATGTAGGGGGTAGCCCCTCGGGGGGCCTCAAACTTTTTAGACTGTGGAGCCCCAGGCCGTGCAAAAGCCTGGGTCCACACAGCCCGCCCATTCATCCCCCCAGATCCCCCCAGCCTGCCCCTCCCACCTGGGAGATCTGCAGGATACTCCAGCCAACCGAGCATCTCCGAGCTTACCCCATGGGCACTTCAGGCTGATCAGGCCCAACCCAACCTCTTTACTCCACACCTGCCTCATGTCCTGTGTAGGGGGGCCCTGCTTGGGCTCTGGGGTCATCCACTGCCGTTGGGCAGACTCAGGGCAGCTCACCTCCCTGTCCCTCCCTCCACGCTGATCAGTTTCCAAGTCCGGACGGGTGTACTTTCTACTCTGCTCAGCAACCCGCCAGCTGCCTCCACTCTCCTCCCCTGTCCCCCGCTTCTCCTCTTTCCTGCCTTGGAGGGGTTCTAGTAAGGCATAAACCATGGCGCTCTTTGGAAGCCATCAGCTCAGTGACTTCAAGTTTCTCTTAGAATCAGCGATTTCCAGAGCACTGGCTTGTCCTCTCCCTGCCCCCAGACCCCAGTGCTCTGGTCCCCAGGCTCTCTCCTTTCCACACTGCCGGCCATGACTCCTCACCCTTCTGGTCTCCGTCTGACCACTGCCTGGAGTCTGTGTCTCCCCGCCCCCCCGCCCCCAGCCACCACACCTCACCGCACCAAACCCGACCTCTGCACTCACAGCACCCAAGCGTCAGGAGTGTCTTGTTCCTTGTCCATGCCCCCACTAGACACTGAGAGCCATGAGCTCAGGGACTCTGTGCATCCAGTTCAAGGTCGTCTCCCAGGGTCTAGCACCGTGCCCGGCTCCACAAACTCTTAAGCAAGCACAGAGCTCTGTGGCCCAAGAGCCTTGGAAATTCAACGTTACACTATGCCTCGGGCGTATAGGGACAGGGGCTGTGTGGGGCAGCTCACACCGTCCCCTCTCCCAGCACCCTCTGATCCCCAAGCCCCACTGGGCCTCCCATGCGGTGAGACCCCCTACCCCCTGCTTCCCCCCTCCAGACCTAGGCTTCTCACCCTGCCACAGCATGCCGGGCTGTCTACAGCGTCACTTGCTAAACACAGTGTGTGTTCCTGCGGTGTTAATTTTACTTGCTTGTGAGCTATTTCAAGGCTTATTTTTATGTATTGGAAAATAAACACACATAGATGGTGGAGTAGGACGCAAAATTCCTGTGAATTTTTAAAGCCAAGAGAGCAGATTGCAAAGAATATTCGTGATGCTGGCGCTGGCTTCTAGCAGCACTCTTAGGCCCCCAGCCCTTGCCCTGCTGCCTACTTGCGGGGGAAGGTCTCGGTCTTCTTCCCTTTGGGAGAGGGGAGGGGTGGGCAGGAGGCTCCCAGGAAGGCCCCTCAGGGAGTGTTGGAGGCTGAGGTCTGGGGTCTGGGGCACTCACCAGTGGGATGTAGTCGAAACTCTGGGTCCCTGGGCTTGACTCTGGAGCCTTGGTCAGCGGTTTGTTCAGGAAGCCCTTGGCTGCCCGAGTCAGCAACCTGGACTTGCTCAGACTCAGCCTGTGTGGGTGGAAGCGGGGAATAGTGGCCAGAGCTGTCCCCTGGTGTCCCCGGTCATCCCACCCTGCCCAGCGCCCACTCAGCTGCCCCCAAAAGTCAGGGCCAGAAGGGACGTGACAGATGGCTTCCTCCAACTTCCTCATTTGGCAGCTGGGGAAACTGAGGCCCAGGGAGGGAAGCTTGTGCTTCTTGAGTCACTCAGTGAGTTAGCGGCACCCTAGATGATGAATAGGTGAGGGTTCTTTCTGGGACCCTCTTCCAATAGCATACTCTCGTTCAGCCCAGTGGCCAGAGAAGCTTAGGCTAGCTCTCCCGGGGGATTTGCACCTGCACAGAGACCACAGTGGTGGAGGCGGGGGGCTTCCACAGTGCGGAGACCAGAAGGCAGTGTATCTGGGTAAGAGGGCCTTCTCGATACCCTTCAGATTGTTCATTTTTGTCTAAATGTCAAGTTGGGTCTGCTTTCCACCTTCCAAGCCAGGAAGGGTCCCGGGGAAGCAGGTGGTGTGGCACAGCCCACCTCGCGGGGAGACCCCACGTACCTGGATCCAAAGAGAGAGTCTGAGGTCTTGAAGGAAGAAAGGGTATTGGTGACCAGACTGCGCAGGGGACCTGGAGAGCCATAGAATGACAGTTGGGGCATGACAGACGACCCTGTCCAAGGGCTTCCTGCCCAGGGGGGAAACAGAGGCCCAGAGAGGAGCAGGGGCCTGCCTCTCTTGCACCCAGGTGGTGTGGGGAAGGATGAAATACGTATGTCCACGTGTAAGAAATAGGCCTCTGAGTTTCCGTGGCCGGTGGCTGCTGGTGTCTTCTGTTACCCGTGGGGGGCAGTGATGGCTTCACATCAGCCCCTCCCCCATCCCTGAGAGGGGGACATTGAATTTCCTTCCCTGGCACATTGTGGAGGCTTCTGAGCAGAGTTAAGTGGTAGAATGATCCCTCAGCTGGGAATCGGGAAGTCTGATTCCAGGCCTGGTGTTGTCACTAACTTGCTGTGTGACCTTGGACAAGTCACTTGACTTCTCTGAGTCTTAGTTTCCACATCTTTAGATTGAGGGTACTCCTCTATTAATCTCACGCAGGGGTGTTTTGAGGAATAAATGAACCACTGAGGACTTTGTTGAGCTAAGACACTCTCTTGGCCAGTGGGTCAGTCACTGTCCCTACCTTAACTAAGGACAGAGTCGGCTGACCGCCTACTCACCTTCGGAAGCAACGTACTTCTCGCGGCCCGGGGACGTGGCCTCACCAAAGGGTGCAGTGGGGCTTTCTTCCACATCTACAACAGATGATGAAGCCAGTGAGGCCTGAGCTCCTCTGGCTCTCCCTCTCTCACCTCTCATCCCCCAAGGAGAGTGAAGGTCCAAATCCACACTATGTGGGGGGTGGGCTGGGAAAGCCTGCTTGCGTGGGCCTTTGTCTTCTAGAGATAACACCCCTGGTCTCCCTAAGAGTCCCATGCTTGCTCTCTCTCTCTCTCAAAATAAATAAATAAATTTATTAATTAAAAAAAAAAGAAGGGATTTGTGATTTTGATGGAAGCCATGGGCCACCAAGAACTGAGCTATGGACAAATGAAAAGGTAGACAGAAGCTTCCTTTGGACGGGAAGCCCAGCTTACAACAGCGCCCCACCCCCCCAACGCCGCCGCCCCATCCCCAGTTTGGGAGGCCCTGAGGGACCAAAGAGCTGGCAGAGCTTTTTAATTCTGGTGTTACACACTTTTCTACCCCTCACACACTGTTCCTTTTTCACCCCATCAATGTCTGTGAGAACTTTCGAGTTCCTCAGGTAAAAACTTAGTACGATCTGGGTGTCTGGCCTCGCGGCCAGGTGGGACCTCTGATGTACTTCCCATGCACAGGAGGAGGCCAGAGATCCTCACTGAACATGAGAGAGCAGGAAGGAAGAAGGGATTCGGACCAGTGCAGCAGTTAGGCTGTCTTTGGAGGGACCAAAAGACATGCACACATTCAGGACACAGAGAGTTAAAACTATTCCTGTGAATGAGTGCCAGGTCACAAAAGGGTCAAATCATGGACACTTAAGGACCTGACAAAATCAGGCAAAGGCAGAAGGGAAGCTTCACGAATCCTGAAAGAAGCCGAGGGTGGGACCCAGACAGATGGAGCTGCCTCTCTGCTCCTCGCTTTCCCCCTTGCTTATTAGTTTTCCTGGCATTTGGTGCCTGAGAGGACTCAAGAGATTGGAGCTGAGAACAGCCCCGGGGCTGGGCAGACTTTGAAAGGGGAGAGGTGGAGGGATGGTGCGGGCTCGTGGCCTCCCGGCACTCTCTCAGCAAAGCTGTGTTTGGTGGTGGCACACGGAGCCTCCGAGAGTCTGTCTGGGAGGCCTGGTCTCACCTTGGCTCTGCAAGGGGACCCAGAGCGCAGACTCAGAGCCTGGCTTCTGGGAGCCTTGGACACCAGCGCGCCTCCCAGGCTTAGGCTTAGAACACACATGAGGCAGCTCTTACTTAGGTTCTGGAATTTGCCGTCTTCTGCTGCTGAGTCTTCCCCGAGCAGGGTCTGAGACCGTCCGAAGCCAGCAGCCGGGCCCCTCCTCTGTCGGGTCAGGACCTGAGAGTTGACCATCCGCCATGCGGCACCTTCACAAGGACAAGGAGAGGGGGTCAGTTGGGTACAACTGTGTCAGTCCTTTGCCTTTCCCCCAGGTTGGTCACTTGTCCAGAGGCAGAAAGACATTGTACAAGGTAAGACCATGAACTTTGGAGCCAGAATGACCTGGGTTTGAACCTCAGTCCCATCTCTTAGTAGCTGGAGGGGGTGCTAGCCCCTCTGTGCCTCAGTTTCCTCATCTGGAAAAGGGGGATAATAACCTTGCCAGGTGCATGCTATTGCCAAGACGATGCTCAGGAAGCAGTAATATTTTCTAGTTAATCAAAAGGCTGGTTTTCTCAGAACATCCCACTTTTCATTCTCTCCTAATTTGTGGTCTCAGAAACCAAGGTTCCCCTTCCCCTCCCACAGGGCAGGCCCCTGGAGTCGGAGGGCCTCAAACAGCACATGGATAAAGAGAAATGAAGCTATAGCACCCCTAAGTGAGTTTTTGGGAGCCCCACTCTTGGAGAACACAAGTCTGTAAACTATTCCTTAAAAAAAATGAGGAGTTCTACGGGGAGGTAAGTTTGGAAGAAGCTGCAAACTAGAGTCCCTTCTCTGAGCCTCGTGATGTATGTTAACATACTAAAGGCTCTGACAAGTTCTGCAATCAAGAAGCTGTTGAGCTTTATTTAATCCAGTGCTTCCTAAATGTATTTCCTAAACTGGGACTTCCTAGTTTGCGCAGAATGGCTGTGCTCAAGACATGCACTTAGGGTCCTGGTTTCCTGAACTACACTTTGGGAAGTACTGATTCAGGTCTTAGGGGGCTGTGGGACTTAGGTTAAGACATGGACCAGCTCTCTGAACCTTCCAGGCTGTGTGTGCTACAGACGCTAGGAGGATGGTCTGAAACGGGCAGGGAGGGAGAGAATGTCATTTGGGATGACAAAGCCCAGTGAATGAAAATATGCCTAGTGCAGCAATAGTCTGGGCCACTGGCCAGAACCCGAAATGAGAGCAACCTGAGGAGGGAACAGGTCATCGATGATTTTGGTGCCGTAGATAAAAAGCAGCAGGAGAGGAGGGAGACGGGAACAAGGAGAGGCACATTTTGTTTTTAAACATTCTTTCAGGAGATCTGCTAAAAAAAACAAAAAATAAAGAAAAATAAAGGAAAAAAAAGGAGCTGCAGAAGGTAGGAAAATGTAACTCAGGAGAGAAAAAGTACATATAGTTTATGTACCTATGAAAAGTATCTCACCAAAAAAACCCTAAAAAAATTCCCCAGAGAGCGATTCTTCCCTTCCTTCCCTGGAAGCATTTAGAAAGACAAGCAGCACACAGTGTTGGTGCAAAGCCGACCCCCTGAACAACCTTTGTAGTCAGGTCACTTTGAAAAACTTCAAAACTCATCCCAGTTTTAAACGGGCAGGACTTTTGATCTGCAATCTTACTTCAGAGAGTTAATTAGCCCCAAGGAGATAACCTGACAGGGGCATAAAGATGTTCTTTGGGGGTGCCTGGGTGGGTTAAGCCTCTGCCTTTGGCTTGGGTCATGATCTCAGGGTCCTGGGATCAAGCCGAGCCCCGCATTGGGCTCTCTGCTCAGCAGGGAGCCTGCTCCCGGACCCCCTGCCTACCTCTGCCTACTTGTGATCTCTGTCTGTCAAATAAATAAAATTAAAAAAAAAAAAAGATGTTCTTTGCACCATAATTTACAATAATCAAGAGGGGAGTAAAATGAAGGTCTAGTATCTGGGGGGCTCATGGAAAAGGTTCTGATAAACGTTAAGTGGTAATGGAAAGGATCAGGAGGGAGTACAGACTCTGCAGCCAGGCCACGGGATGCCAAGCCTAGCTCTGCCCCTCACTGCTGTGTGACCTTGGGCAGGGAGCTTAGCTCCCTCTGCCTCTATCTTCCCACCTGTAAAATGGGGATAATAATAGCATCTTCTTTGCAGAGCTGTGTTGAGGATTAAGACATTCGATGTAGAGGGGTGCCTGGGTGGCTCAGTGGGTTAAAGCCTCTGCCTTCGGCTCAGGTCATGATACCAGGGTCCTGGGATCGAGCCCCGCATCAGGCTCTCTGCTCAGTGGGGAGCCTGCTTCCTCCTCTCTCTCTCTGCCTACTTGTGATCTCTGTCTGTCAAATAAATAAATAAAATCTTAAAAAAAAAAAAGACATTCGATGTAGATAAAGTGCTTTGGAACCCTGTCTAATTGATGATGAACATAGAAAACCCTGTAGCTATTGAAGTGTTGATAGACATTCACCTTCGTGGAAAGATTTTTTTTTCCACACCCACATTTGGTAGAACACAGCACATATCGGTATAATCCAACTCATGAAAAATTATCTGTCTTTTGACTTCTCTACGTGTAGATATTCATAGAGAGAAGTCTGGAAAGATGGTCACGCCAAGGAGGTAATGAGTTACTCATTTCTGGATGACTGTCAAGTCCAGGCATTTTTATTTATGTCTTTCTATATTTTGGAATTTTCTACGGAGAGCACACACATTGTCCCAATTGGAAGAATACAGTCAAGTCCTATTCATTTGGTGGGAAAAAGGGAGTGGGGGTAGTTTCATTGCCCTTTGCAGAATAGTGGGTGGGGGTTCATGTACCCACCACCCTGTGGTGACCGAACCATTGGCCAGGGGCCTTTTTGCTTCTGGGCCATTCCTGTACCCCTCTCTGCGGGTCTGTGCTCCTTTGTGTCCCAGTTCCCCTCTGCCAGCCAAGGGGGGCTGCTTGGCCCTCAGAAGAGCCCATCTGCCTTACCAGAGTTGGGGTACCCCACCACAGTGGGCAGGTACCGGCTCTTGCTCACGTCCACAGGCATGAAGACTGTATACTTGCTGATGACGTTGCAGGCTTTGCTGGTGTGCACAGCGTTCACCTGATAACGGCGGCTGGACCCTGCGGAGGGAGAGGCTGGGGGTCATTGTGCGGACCCAGAAAATCCCAGCTGACCCAGGAATTCTGGAAGCTAAAAGAAGGACTAGATCAGTGGTCTCTGTCTTTGGGATTCCAGAAGCCCTTCAAATCAAGGGGTCTGTGCACTTGCCAGTTAAGGACATTAACCCCCACCCCCAAGATTATTAACCTCCATCATCATTTCATAAAATGAGGACATTTTAATGTAAAAGAGCTAAGACATCTAGGACAAAAAGATAGTTACACCCCTTAAATAACTTGAGTGTTATTTAAAAAAAATCCTCTAGGGGTACCTGGTGGCTCAGTCAGTGGCCTGAGTGTGCCACCCTCGATCTTGGGGTTGTGAGTTCGAGCCCCAGGTTGGGTGTAGAAATTACTTAAAAATAAAAGCTAAAAATACCCCCCAAAACCCCAAACCCTCTATGTCGCCCGTATTCTCTATTTTAATTTTACAGCTATCCGATAAAAACTTTGCTGCAGGATTTCACAGGTCCCCTGGCAGGGTGGGGACCACTGGTCTGGTCCATTGGGACAATCTTGCAGAGAAGATTGAAAACCAGAGAGGGAGAGCAGAAAACACAGGGTCACAGAGAGAGTTAGTAATGGCCCTGGGATCAGAACTCAGGATGCTCTGACCTCCAAACCCAAGTTCTTCCCACAAAACAGGTGAGCAGTCTCCAGAGGGTTGTGTGTTCTCTGTATCTATACCGATCTATTCTCGGTGTGCACCATCGTGATCCCAGGAATCACGGTCTTAGGAAATTTTGCCCCAATTCCTGAACTCAGTTACTTCCCCACCATCCCTGTTACAGGATTTCTTGGATCCCTGTATTTCTTAATAGGACAATCAGGCCAAACGCAGTCAATTAATTGTGCGCGCAATTATTTGATTCATGTTGGCTTCCCCGCTAGTGCGTGCATTAAGGATTGGAATTGTGGTGGTCACTGCACTGTTCAGCCTCGAGTCTGGCCCCGAAATGATCCAAAATCAATAAATGGCGTTGATGAATGAGTGAGTGGACCAACTAGGTCTAGTGGGTTCTGTAATAAGGTGTGGTCCCAGGGGAGCAGGTCAGGCGCCGATCATCTGGCAGGCCGCGTTGTTCTGTCTCTCGAGGCCTACGGGGGGGCGCTGCAAGGAGAAGCCCTGGGAAGTGAGAAGGAATGGGTACTGCAGCAGACGGGGAAAAGGAAAGAGAGGAGAGGACAGACAACCGGATCACCAGATCACCGGATCACCGGATCACCGGAAGGGATGGGAGGGGTGAAGGAACCCAGGGCTAGCCGGGAGGCATCTGGGGGCTGGGTGACCGGGCGAGGTGTGGGTAGCAGTGATCAAGGAAGGGATGGAACCCTGGGCTGTGTGTGTGTGTGTGTGTGTGTGTGTGGGGTGGGGGGGGGGGGCAGGGGAGGTGGAGGGTGGGGCTGGTTGTGCTGGGACCGAGGGGAGACACCGGGAGGCAGTGGTGCGGGGTGGGCGGGCGGTGGGGGGACGAAGAGATGGAGCACTAGACAGTGGCGGGCTGTGGGAAGAAGGAAGTTTGCTGAAGCCTGGGGAGGAGAGCAGATCACCCGTGGGTGGGCCAGGAGGAGGGTGGGGCCTTCCGCCCGACCTTATGGAGGGGGCAGGGCCCGAGGTGGGGAGGAGGAGAGAGGATCACTGTGGGGACTGTGGGATGGGGCGTTGGGCGGGGCTGCGAGGAGTGGGCGGGGCCCTGAAGTGGGGAGGGGTATGGGGTGGGGCTGCGAGGAGGGGCTCCCGGAGGCTGTCGGGAGAGCGCTGGCGACGGAGGTCACCTGGCTCGATCTCGCCTTCGCGCTCCGCCAGCTGCTCAAAGTCGCGGATGATGGCGCGGGCCGCCAGGTGGTGGAAGGTCTCGCTCCACAGGTCAGCGTCCTGTGCCCCTCCCCGCTCCGGGCCGGGGGGCCCCAGCTCAAAGGTCACTTCCCACTGCAAACGTTGGCTGTCACGCAAGCCCTTGACCACGGCCTTGCCCAGCACCGGGCCTGGAGTGGGGGGCCTGCCGGGATTGATCCGCTCCTCGGACTCTGCAGGGGGCTCCCAGTCCGAGGACGTCTCAGTCTCGAAGGCGGAAGGGTGATGGGACGGCTCTGCGGGCAGAGGGACAACCAGGCGGTGCTCTGAGCTGGGGCACAGAGGGGCAACCCTCAGGGACGTCATTCCTCCCCAGGGCGCAGATATTGCGAAGCAAGTACAGTCTTCTTCCCCCTACCCTCCACCTCGAGGAACACACGACTTCCTCCCTAGGGCAGCTGGATGGTATGGACCTGTCCCCAACATGGGGCAGACCCACCTCCAGGAATCCAGTACCTGAGGTGGCCAGATAGGGTGGGGTGGGGACACTTGGGCAGTGAAGAGTGCAGCCACAGGGACATCTGGGAGCCTCACAGCCAGCCCAAGGGCCAGGTTGATCCGGGAAGATCAGGATTGGTGAGGTTCTCTGGCACGGAGGGGCCTCTTCCCCCCACCCCACCCAAGGGCACAGACAAAGGCGTTTGCCCTCAGTCCTATCATATGAAGCTGGGCTACAGCCAAGAATTCGTCCCTGTTCCCGATCAGGTCCTAAACCCTGTAGGCACTTACCCAGGTCCCCAGGGTTACGTCTGTCTGAGGCAGGCTTCAGGCTAGACCCAAGATCTTGCTCTTTCATGGGGCTCCAGGTCTGGGTCTCCTGGCTGGAGGGCAGGCTGGGCTGGCAGCCTTGGGGCAGCAGAGAGGGCCTTCGGGCCCCTGGGCCCCGGAGTTTGGGGCCCTGGCTCAGGTCCAGACCACTGTTCAGCAAGGGCTAGGAGTTTAAGAGGGAGGGGAGGAAGCTGAGATCCTGGTGGCTGCCCCTTCCCTCCACCCCTAGCCACAGCTCTTTCTCAGGGCACCCCAGGTCCTATAGTACTGCAGGCCACATAACCTACTCTCCACTACCCATGAGAACCATCAACACAGATAATCCCAAAGCATGGATACAGCCCAAACCATGGAAAACTGTGAAAAATCACATACCAGGGATAATATTCTAAACCCACTTTTTTTTTTTTTTGCCATAAAGTCTAAAACTTTGTGTGTGTGTTGGAAGGAGGCTAAAATTATCAGCCTTTTCCTTATGTCTTCTCATATGTCATGCTTAAAAGGTCTTTCCCACTCAAAAAAAATTCTAGAATTTTTATGATTTATTTTTGTTTGCTTAAATCTTTGACTCACATGAAATTTATTTTAGTGTAAAGAAATAGGAACAAACCTTTTCCTTGGTTTTCCCAGTAGTACAGATCTCAACACCACTTATTAAATATGGTTCATTCATTGAGTTTCTAGGGTTTATCAATCCCCCACCTGTATCCTGTCAAAGCTCACATGTACATTGGTTTTATTTCTGGACTTTCTCTTCTGTATTGTGGATTTAATCTGTCTGTTCTTGTGCTGGTACAAAAAAACACCAAAAGGCATGGGATAAACTGGGAAATATAGCTGCAACACACATGACAAAGATCATTTTCAAAAAAAAGTTCTTATAAATCACTGGGGCAGGGAGGCAGAGGGAGACTATGGGTTCAGGGTATCTGTAGGCAATACACAGAAAAAGTATCCAATAAACCCATGAAAAAAATGCTCTGCCTCATGAACATTGCTCTAAAATAAAATAAGTTATATGACTTTTTTTTCCATCTTCCAGATTGGCAGTTATTTAAACATTTGATGACGCCTACTGTGGCCAAACCGGAGACAGGGTTTCTCTTGCGGACCGTTGATGGGAGTATGAACTTGAGGCACACCTGTGGGAGGACACTTTAGCTGTGTGCTGTCCAGCAACATTAAATGTGCACAAGCTCTTTTGACCCAATGATTCCATGTTTAGAAGTTCTGTGGAAATGCACAGGAAGTGAATATCTATGTGCCTGTGATGTAGATTCGTTGCAGCGTTGTTTGTAAAAGTGAATCTTTGGACATTCTCAAAATGCACATCCAGTAGGGGTTGACAAAGGAGTTATGGAAGATCCATACCATGGGATGTCACACAACACGCATTGAAATGAAAGAGTCGGGTTTCTTCATACCAGGGTGGGAAGATGTCCAAGATCAAACGTATCTTAAAAAAGTAAATTGCAACCGTTCTGTATTTTGACTGTGGAGATAGTTACAGAACTATGCGTATGTCAAAACTCACAGAACTGTTCACCAAAAAGAGGAATTTTACTGAATACCAAAAAGAGAGAAAGAGAGAGAGAGAGAGAGAGAAAGAATTAAAAAGACATTAAAAGAGTAAATTAGAGATTTGCATTTGGATTTTGGAGATATCCGGTGATAATTGGATATAATTAGAGATTTGCAATGTGATTATTCAAAACACATATGTGTGTTGTGTGTGTGTGTGTGTGTGTGTGTGTGTGTCTGTGTGTGTGTGTGTGTGTGTGTGTGTGTGTGTGTAGTATTTCTGGAAGGAAACATTGAAAATCAGAGGGTTCGGGCACAGGGAAGGGATAATTTTACTTTTACTTTATACCTGCCTGAACTGTTTGAGGGTTTTCATGGCAAACTCTGAGTATGTATTACTTCTATAATTAAAGAATATTAAATTAATTAAAAATGAATTTTGTGCCTCCGGGAGCACATATGCTTGGTAGGGGGAAGCGGGTGGGGCAGGGGCAAAAGGCACTTGCAAGGTGAAACAGAAAAAGTGCCTCTCAGGTTTTTAGGTCAACAGTTAATCATCGAGGTTTTCTCATCTCTATTAAGTATTTACTGGGAAGAGGATTGTGCCTCTCCATTAGATAGGGGTTCCTTAGGGCAAGGGCTGGGCTCCTCCTTCCTGTCTCCTCTGGGCCTGAGGTCCTAGAGATGGTACAAGGGTGTGGGAGAAGAAAGGGACTGATCACTGGTCGGATGGCCTTGGTAGGAGCTGGTATCCAGCCAGGGCTCCTGGGTTCCAAGGGGGTACTTAATCCCTGTCTCCCATCAGAGGCTGGGATTCCCCTCACCCCTACCTTACCATCATCAACACACTGAGAAACAGACGCTGCTACAGTTTCCATGGCAACGGATTAGTCTAAGATTCAGCCTTTCACCCAGCCAGAGGCTTCAGGGAGGGTGTATGTGTGTGCTCATGTGTGTGTGCGTGCGCTGGCATGTGTGTGTGCGTGTGCAGGGTAGAATTAGATTGGAGAAGAAGCTGAGCAGGCGATTAGAAAGACATGAGCAAGGATGGGCCAGGAGCAAGCAGGAGAGAACAGATGCTAAACTGCCCAGAGTTCTCACCAAGGAGAGTTGCATTTAAAGGACACCTACTGTATACCAGGGGCTGCACCAGGCATTTCCTCTCCTATCAGCCATTGCCTGCAAGTCTTCCACTTAGAGTTAGCTCCCAGTCAATGCCTGCTGATGGCAGTTAGCTCAATCCACTGTACAAACTACTCTCCCCATTTCCTAGATGGAAAAGTTGGGGCTCAGAGAGGGTAAGCAACATGTTTGAGGAGCAGAGTCCACCTGACTCCAAGGTCAGTGTCTTCCAGCTGCTTCAAGTGATTCCTGGTTAAGCACTGAGAAGGGCTTGCAGGGACAAGGTGGCAATGTCTCTCCCCTTGGGAACTATAGGAGCTTATGGAGAGGCAGGGAGGGATGGCGATGGTGGGTGGAAGCGGGAGAGCGAAAGGCTGCTTTTATGGAACCGTGACTTACAATGACAAAGCTACGTGAAACCTGATTCTTAAGAAAGTGGATAAGGTACGCAGATAACAACAAACACCAATTTGGTTTAGGACAGTGTTTCTCCATCTGGTGGTTTTACCCTCTTCCTCAGGGACATTTGGTAATGAGTGCAGACAGCTTTGGTTATCATGCTGGAAGGTGGTATTCAGCTGATCGAAGCCAGGGATGCTGCCAAACATTCTACAATACACAGGACACAGCCCCTTCGAATGAGTGTCAATGAGGCTGCTCCTGGCCAGCTGGGAAGTATTGTGTATGGAGAATGGGTGATGTCACTGAATACTGGATACAGTCACTGAATACTGGATACAAGCAGATCAAGATCCAGAAAAATGAGGAAGAAGACACTCATTTTGCAGTATAAGTAGTGGACCTTGTGGCTGAAGCAGGAGACAGCTCTCTCCCCAGCTATGGTCGCCCCAACTCCAACCCACCCTGCTCAGGTACCTGCAGATCAATCTGCCACCAAGGGGCATCTGTGATGCTCTGGTTGGTGAGGTCCTGCAGCTTTGCTTTCCGAAGTGGGTATCTCTTGGCAGGCACTGTGGGGTCGCTTGCTGTGGGGGCCCTTGGGGAGGGCTTGTGGTGGGTGATCTGGTTGGTGCTGTATGCCCGCCGTCGCTGGGAGAAGTCTAGAGCTGGGTAGGGTGGTGACAAGGGGAGCCAGCAGGGTGGGGAAGAGCGGAGAAAGAGAGAGAGGCTTGCATGCTCCTTTCCTGCTTGGAAACTTCTTGCATTACCCACTGTTTGCCTGCTGAAATATTTGTAGATGTCTCACCTCCCCTGGCATTCAAAGCCTTACATAAACTGGGGTCCTAATCCATCTACCCAGCTACTGTCCTTTCTGCTCCTTTTTCAGGGTACCCTGTGCTTCAAATGTAAGAGATGAGTAATCAATTGCGATGTGTTTTCTAGGTGTCACATTTCTACATCTTTGCTCAGCCAGTTTCTGCAGCCTGGAATATCCTCTCCCTTCCCACATCTAAGAAGCAGTGCCCTCATTATGTCTCTGTTGATATCGTCTAACAATGTGTCTTTTCTTGGGATCTCCCACAGCTTATTAAACTTCACTGTGGTCCCTGTCACTCTGCTTCTATCAACGTTAGAGCCAATTGTATCTCTTCCCCTAGGTAGAGAGCTTCTGAAAGACAAGAATTCATGTTTGCATCATCTTTGTTTCCCACGCTGTGTTTGGTACTTAGCCTTAGTAGGTGATCAACAAATACCCTATGAATGGAAATTAGCACCCTAAAGAGTGCAAGCAGCTCTAGACCTGTCTGTACCTTCCCTCTTGCTGGGTTTCATGAGCTTAGCCAAGTTGCTTAACATCCCCAAGACTCAGTTTCATCATCTGTAAAATTGGTGAACTAGGACCCATCTTCACAGGTGCTAACTATTCAGTGAGATGGGTTCTATAAAGTGCTCAGCACAGAGTAAGTGCTCAGTAAAATGTAGCAATCATGGCCTCCCTGGAAGAAGGAGTGAAGACAAGGAGCAGCAGACTAACCAGGATTAGTGGTGACATCTCCAGTGGTTGGCTGGGCATCTTTGGGCTGCTTGAGGTTGAAGTGTGACCCCATGCTCTTGGCAGAGTTTCTGGCATCTGGGCTGGGCCCCTCATCCTGGGAGTGGTAGAAGACAGAGCTACTGGACCCCTGGGAGTGAAGCATGCTGTATCGTCTCCTCTTGTCCTGGAAGGAGGCAGAGAAAAGAGGGCTGGGAGTAGATGTCAGAAAGAGCATCTGTAGGGGAGGCAGGGGTAGGACAGGAGGTGGGAGACATTCCATCTTTGAGGATCTGGAATAACAGGAAAGTTTTTCTTGCTTGAATCATTTGGGCAGACTTCCGTTTAAGAGATGGTGAATGGAACTGACTCTTCATAACATTTATATTGTTTATATTTTTAATTATCTTCTTTATTTAAAAGAATTTTTAGTGTAATTCTAAATGCCACTGCTGTCTCCAAGTAGGTAACCAAAATTAACAAAATGAACCATCTGTTCCTTCCCTTCCATTCTCCATGATATAAACACACACATATATAAAACATAAGGGCTTTGGGGGTAATTTTTATTTTACAAGAAGTAGACTATATTACCTGCATTTATCAGTATCTTGAGTTTTGCACTTAAAACATTTTGGAAGTCCTGCATATCAGCCATTCTTTTAAACTTTTGACTGTACAATATTCAACCACCATAAAAAATTGCTACAGTGAATCCTTTGACATAAATCCATTGTATCACTTTTATTTCTAGGTGTTAGTTTCTTAGGAGGGATTTCTGGGCTGAAAAGTTATGTATTTCTAATTTCATTAGTTATTTCTAGGTTGCTTTCCAAAGGAGGGAAAGTCATATTTAAACCACAATAGGCAAGGATACCCTTCCCCAAGAGCTGTGTTAGTATCAGGAGAAAACTTGGCCAGTTTCATGGGTAAGGAAAGGAGAAGGCTTTTATTTGATGGTTCCTTCCAGTGGTAGAGTCTGTTGATGATCGGATGCCTCCCAGACCTCCAAGAAGGGTCTAGATTGTTCAAAGACTGACCAACATTCTGTTTAGTATATTCTCCCTGCTTTTGAACTCCCCGCTCTCCATAACATATTAACCATTACCCTGACCATGATTCTTAGGAGATTGTATAACATTCTAAAAGTTGGAAATATCACACACCCATTCTCACTTCTCTTGCAAGATTGAAAACACCTTTAACACAGAGCCCACACTGGGGAGGGGCCACTCATTTGAGATGGCCATGTGCCATCCCGTTCACCATATTCCTCACCACCCCTCTTGCCTCTCTATGGACTCCGTGATAACTGCTATCCTTCAGGGTGTTTTCCCCTTTTATTTTTAGAAGTTCATTTTATTCATTTTATACCTGCCAGTCCCTTTAGGCAATGAGTTAGTGACTCCTGCTTGAAAATGAAGCAAGATGACAAATCCTTCAAGCAGAAGTGGAGAGGCTCAAGAGGAGGATTGGGGGAATTTCAGGCAATCCCCCACATTTTAGCATGAATTCCACCTTCCTTTGAGAAGTTCCTCACTTTTATCTCACTTCTGTCACCACATACAAGAGAATGATTCGTGTGAGTAAAACACAAACTCATCTGAGGAGACATGACCTGAATAGAGCTTTTAGGGAAAGAAACCTGAGTGCGGTTGTTCTGAACGGAGTTGTCTGTCAAAAATCACTTTGGGGAGATTATGTCAAATGTGGGTACTTGGGCCTTACCCTCAAAGACTTTTATTCAGTAGACCCAGGTTGGAGCTTGGGTTCCGCATTTTTTTTTTTTTTTGGTAAGTATTTTTAAAATCAATTTAAAATGTATTTAAATTCAATTAACATAAGACATTAGTTTCAGAGGCAGAGTTCAGGGACCCTGCATTTTACTTTATCTCTTAAAAAAATTTATGTATTTATTTGAGAGAGAGAGAGAGTGAGAGAGCGAGCTGGAGTAGGGATGGGGATGGAAGAGAGAATCCTGAGGCAGACTCCCTGCTGATCACAGACCGCCTTGTGGGATTCAGTCTCAGGACACTGAGATTAAAAACTGAGCTAAAATCAAGAGTTGGCCACTTACCCAACCGAGCCAGCCAGTTACCCCTTGGGCTCTGCATTTTAGACATGTTCTCCCAATTTTTCTTCTGCAGGGGATCTTAAGAACCACATGTTGTGAAGATAATATTTACCCAAGCAGTGTCATCCTGACTGCATGCCCACGGTCAACCAGACCCCACAACTGTAAACCTAGACCCAATTACTTCCTAGAGGCCACCAATAGCCTTTCCAGCTAAGGGTGGCTTTGTGGGCATGGTTCTGGAGCCCCACTGTTACGGAATGTCTAAGATACTTACAGATCTGGGATGGGAGATGTATAAGGAGGCATCACACACAATGCCATATCCCACCAGCCGCTCTCCGGGGAAGAGGGAGCTGGTGCTCACGGGTGATATCAAGACCTCGGTGGTCTCAGGGAAGACCCACTCCACAGTTACATCACTCAGGACTGGGGCCATGGCCTTCTTCAGAGATTTGATCATCTGTTGGGCGGGGTCAGAACACAGGTTGGGGGTATGTTGAACAGGGACGTGCACAGAGGAGGAGTACAAAGACCATAGGGGTATGAGCATGAGGGGATGTAAGCAGAGAAGAAGACACACTAGGTCTTGGGATGGCTTGTCCAGCAGTGAACATGCCTCTGAGCTTTTTAGACTACTAGAATGTCAGAGTTGGAGCAGATCTTGTTTCTCTAAGCTTAGCATTTTATAAGGAGGAGATCTAAGACCTAAAGAAAGGTTGTGACTAGCATGGGACCCACAGAAAATTTGTGTCAAAGCATGGGACTAGATAGTGACCTTGAGCAAATTAATTTGCCTTGCTGTGCCTCTGTTTCTTTTTCTGGTAAAGTGAGTAATTTTCAACTCTCAGTGTAGTTGGGAGAATTAGCTGAGATACTGGATTTGAAGTCGCTACCTCATGATAGGTGTTCAATAAGTGACAGCTGTGGTTAAGCATCACCTAGGCTGATTTCTTCAGATATACTGCAAAGTTGGGGGAAAATGATTTGGGAATTGTGAGAGCCATAAGGGTGCACTCCCACATCTCCTTGAGGAAGACTATGATCTTTTGCTGCAAGGAATGCAGTTAGGTGATAGTCTCCAGATGCAATGCCCCAGCGTTCAAGCCAAGACCACACCTCCCTGTGGAAACCCTCCCACAACGACTGAGCTGCCCAGATACTGGTGCAGGCATTTCAGCCTGATTTGACTGCCTAATGGGTAATCTTTGCTCCCGAGTTCCCTGTTGGGTTGGCTGAGACCTTGCCAGACTTGCAGTGTGAAGCTCTCCCTGCTCAGTCCTGCTTCCCTCCTTTCCTTTCACAGGTATGCATGGGTATTATGGGCTGAAGAGTTCTCCTTCCTGCTTCTTCCTCTTTTTTCTTTCACAGATATTATCCCCCAGTGGACCTCTTGTAGTTATGAATTTCTTAAATCCTGCTCTGTCTGTGGTTCTCTCATTCCTGGAGGATCTGGACTGACCCAAGGATTTTCAAAGAGTTGGGTTATTTGTGCCAACTGTGCAGAAAATGGAGACATGACTATAATTTCCTTGATTTCTGGGTCCTTTAAATGCTTCTGAGTCACCATTTGTCATCATCAGGAATGTGGCCAGAAATGACCCCAAACACAACTCCGTAACCACAGACGCAGTGACTCGGAAGCCCCAGTCCTGCCCAGCCGGTGGCTGGATCATGTGATCCAGTGGCTGGAGACCTGTGGACATAGTGCCCTCTACTGACTCCAGTACAGTGATCCTGGGGACTATCTACTCTGTGGCCCCTACCTCTCTGATTGTCATTGGGGTGTATAGTGGCCTAGTGGGGAGCTCAGACTTGGGTGAAATGAAATCCCAGCCCCACCAATGAGTTGCTGTATGACCAGTCTTGGCCTCTGAAGTACTGGCACCAGAACACACTGAGCTCCTTTTGCCTACCTTGGGTTGGAGCCGTTCCCCCTCCACCAGAAACTCAGCACTGCCCTTGGATACAGTTGCCAGCCCTCTCACCAGTCTGTGGCAGACGTTGGGTCCAATTCCAAAGCTATAGCACCTGGGAGAAGGGAAAGAAAGAGGCTGCTACTTCCCATCCTCTGTGTCCTCTTTGTCCCTTTGGTGGGGAAAGGGACAGAGCATGAGTGAGGAGAGCCATCTCAGAGCTGATCCTAGCATCAGGCAGAGAGTGAAAGAGAAGGCAGAGAGCCATCAGCGGGCACCAACATTCACAATAGCCCATTAAATCTCACCCCAGGACAGAGTCAAAGGAGCAGGAAGGACATCTTCCCCCCTAGGCTGCCCTTTGGTTGCTATACACAGAGGTGAGGTGTTATCGCATCCCATCTGAACTCTTGAGGGAAAGAGGCAAACTTTGAAGTCAGTTACACCAACCACCCTGGAAACAAAGCACTGTAGGAACTGGAATTCTCTCCTTTCCTTCTGGCATCCTCCATGATGCCCCAGTTCTGGCACCCCCCAGCCCAGGACAGCCCAGGATAACCAAGGCCTAGACCTTCAGCCTGTGCCCACCTGGTGGAGAAGGCATGGTTTCGCAGCAGTTCTAGCACCTTGCCGGTGTTGTTGACGGCACCATCAGTGATCAGGAAAAGAAGCCGTGGGTGGCCTCGGCGCACTGGCTGACGGATGATCCATTTGAGCGGGGAAAGGATGTTGGTGCCCCCCATGTCAGCACGCATTCTCTGGATGTTATCACAGGCCATGGCCACGCTCTCCTGCAGGGAAGGGCCATGGACAGGGAAGATAATCCCCAGGATCACCATATGACACCGAGACTGTAAGTCCTTGGAGGACAAGTACTTTGTTTCCCTAGATCTTAGCCAGGTTTCACTGAATTGACTCATGTTCCCGATTTCATCTCTGTCCCATGCACAGGAAGAATGATGGCCACTCATTGGGTGTGATTCTGCCCAATAACACCCCCTACGAATGCCCTAAGTGCTGTTGTCCGTGGTTTGTTAACTTACTACTGTCCTTTCTTTGTTCCTCATTAAAAATATAAACACCCGCAGAAAAGGTAGAATGGCAAGCGCTGACTGCTCAGCACAAATGAGGTGTCCTTTTCTGATGAGCGAGGCAGGAGGTCTGTAGTGGTAAGACCATTACACTAGAAATCTTAAGACTCAAATTCTAGCCCTGCCTGTGGTGCTAAATCCCTATAGTACTTTGAAGAAACCATGCGCTCAATGTGGGCTTCAGATTCCCTTCCTCCTGGATCACCATTGCGGAACCCAACTGTCCAAGGACTCCTGGCACCAGACGGATATCAGATGTTCTGCTCCTGAGTCATGAAGATGCTCTTCCAACATCTATGCTTATGCTAATGGCATGTATCAAAAGTCTTGAAATGGATATTTATCTTCTGAGCCAATAAGACTAAGGATTTATCCCAAGGGAATCATTAAGGATGGGTGTGGAGTCTTCGCTACAAAGATGACTGAATAGAAAAATATGGAAGCAACTGGCAAGCTCAAGTAGGGATTTAGTTCAATAGGTTCCAGTTTATCTGTGTAGTGAAATACTAGGCAGTCACTGAAGTTATTGTGTAGATTAATATTACTTAGATAGAAATATGCTTATGATAGACTGTTGTGTTGGAAGGTTACAGAATGGTATGGCAGATCTAATACTGTCTTTATTAAAAATGGGGGCGCCTGGGTGGCTCAGTTGGTTAAAACCTCTGCTTCGGCTCAGGTCATGATCCCAAGGTCCTGGGATCAAGCCCCGCATTGGGTTCTCTGCTCAGCAGGGAGCCTGCTTCCCCCTCTCTCTCTGCCTGCCTCTCTGCCTGCTTGTGATCTCTGTCTGTCAAAGTGATAAATAAAAATCCTTAAAAAAATAAATAAAAAAATAAAAATGTGTGTAAACACATAGAACAAGGTCTGGAGGGATTTATACTGAGCTCTTAATGGTGGTCTTTCCTTTTTTTTTCTCTGATGAGATCATGGGAGACCTTTTAATTTTTCTTTTTGATTATCTGGTTTTAAAAATTGTGGGATAATCAATATATATTATTTTTGTATTTTAAAAACCTATAAAGTTATTTTTCATGGAAACATGTTCTTCCTTTCTCCCTCCCCTCCCTTACGTTCTTTCTTCCTGTTCCTAGACCTGGACAGAATATGCTCCAGTTTTGAATGTGCTGCTAGGGCCCCCGTCCTCTTGTTCTAAATTGTCATTTGAGCCTTGTGAGTTCTATTCTTAGCCCCCCTCCCCACCCATTCACTCTGTAACCCCTTACCATTCACTCCTTTAGCTCAAACTTGCATGAGTCTATCGTTCTCTTGAAACAGAAGCAGGTATATCCTGCTTCTCTACCCTATATATCCCCTTTCTACCCCTTCCCTGTGCCTCTCTACCCCTTCCCTGTGCCTTCTCGCCGAGCACACCCATAGTTTTCCCCAAATGGTCCTTATTATAAAGAGGAGGGATGTCAGAAGATGAGATGGCAGCTAATGGCCTACCCAGAGAGAACCTCTTGAGTTCTCTGCCATGGGCATCACTGAGTTTCTACAAGGCAAGGGGTGGGGCGACAGCTGAGGCAGCCCTCAGTGCTACCCACGCTTTCTTTTTCTTCTTTCCCTCTGCTCCTCGCCACCCACCCATTCTGGACCCAGCCCTGCCCTTGCCTTACCTCACTGTAGGTCTGACTGGAAGGGAAGAGAGTCTTAAATGTGGATCCAAACCCAATGACATTGAAGAGGCAGGCTGGCATGAGGCTCTTAAGAGCTACCAGCATGGCATCCTGGCAGGCAAGAAAGGGATTTTCAGAGTTTGGGAAGGAGTTACTGGTTTTGCCACCACCCAGCAGCTAGAAGCAGCCTCCACATGGGCTTTCCCCCCTCTGCCCACACCCAACAGTGCCTTTGCCCTCAGATCAAGAAATTTGCTGACAGCAACCTGAGGCTGGACCAAAGCCATCATCATAAAACTTCTCATCCGTGTGGCAAGTCTGACTTCTCAAAGCCCTTCTATTATGCTTGCCAGTTCCATTTCACCTCCTGCTGACCCTGAGAGGTAGGGAGAGCAGGGAGCGCCCACTTCCTTCTGCAAAAACGAAATCGACATCCGAGGGGGGCACGTGGCTGGGTCCGGGGCACACTGTGGATGGAACAGGCTTTCGTCCAGGCCCTTCTGCATCCGACGTGCCCTACCTATGGCTAACGCTCCAGTTAACAAGTCTCTCAGGGGCAGTCTCTCCAGCTCGTATTTGTTAAACACCTGGGAGACAGTTTGCATGCTTTACTTCATGTCATCCTCACTGTGAGCCTTGAGGAAGGCACAATGTCATCCCCATTTTATACAAGAGGAAACTGAGCCACAGAGAGGTGGGATGACTCATTCGTGCACATTTTGAGAGTAGCAGAGCCAGCGCTCTAACGCGGGTCACCGTGCTCCAGAGTCTGGGAACATTACAGGGTGCTAACCGGCTTAACTCCGCAACACCAAGAGCCCTTGATGAGGTCTGTCGAAATAAATAACCACAAAGAGGAAAGGTGGGGGAGATGGCAGGAGGGATGAAGATGATGATGGTGGTGGTGGCGATGACAGTGGTAGAGCGCAACAATAAATATCAAGCTGTTACTCTGTGCCAAGCCCCGTGTTAAGCACTTTCCATTAATTATCTCCTTTCACCTCTGTAACATGTATTACAGCACAGTGGAGAAGAAGATACATTTTGAAGTTAGACATCTGTGGTTTTAAATCTCACTTATACCATTACTAACTAGACCTTGGACTCATTAGGTCACTCCTCGGAGCCTCAGCTTGGCACCTAGTAAATGTTCAGTAAATGGTTATGATCACCAACCCCATGAGAAACATTAATAGCAACACCTTTGTTCTACAGAAAAGGAAACTGAGTCTCAGAGAGTTAAGAAGTTGCACCGGATCACAAAACCAAAGAACAGGACAGCTTTTAAACCATAGCTCCAGGCAGGCACCTGGGTGGCTCCGTAGGTTAAGCCTCTGCCTTTGGCTCAGGTCATCATCTCAGGGTCCTGGGATCGAGCCCCGCATTGGGCTCTCTGCTCAGCAGGGAGTCTTCTTCCCCCTCCCTCTCTCTGCCTGCCTCTCTGCCTACTTGTAATCTCTCTCTCTCGTTAAATAAAAAAAAATCTTTAAAAAACCAAACAGGCAAACAAAGAACATAGCTCCGAAATCATCATTCACGTTGGCTCTCTGCCATGACACAGAGCTTGCGAAGGGCGGGGGGGGACTCTCCCTCATCCCAAGTAGTGACACACGGGGAACGGTGGGGGGGGGCTCTCCCTCATCCCAAGTAGTTTATTGATGGTACCCCAGGGACCTCAGCATGGCTTCCGAGAGACAAACTGTTTGTGTTCCAGAATCTAGAAGGAAGCTGCGGCAACTGGATCTTGGCCACTTCCATAGCATATAGCCTTGCAGGCTGCATAGACCTGCAGCCCCTCTTCCATCCCCCTCTGTAAATATCAAACATTAACATCAATGTTCCCTCAACTCTTTTTGTTGCCTGTGTCAATACATTTTGTTTCTCTACAAAAGAGGTCAATATCTGCTTATTTTTTTCATTAGCCACTAATGTATATTCCTGCTAGCGGGAGACTGCTGATCCATACAGATTGTCTCCACTCACACCTACTAGAATTTTGAAAGCCATGTTTTTGGCAGCCAGTGGCAGCTGGAGAATGAGACCAGCTGTAGGAGATTAAATTGGCTGAACTTTCCCCCTTGGTGTGGCTGTTCAGATTTCTGTTCTCTCCTATCTTCCTAAGCCTAGTTTTTCCTTTTTTTTTTTTTAAGATTTTATTTATTTACTTGACAGAGATCACAAATAGGCAGAGAGGCAGGCAGGCAGAGAGAGAGGAGGAAGCAGGCTCCCCGCTGAGCAGAGAGCCCGATGTGGGGCTCGATCCCAGGACCCTGGGAGCATGACCCGAGCCGAAGGCAGAAGCTTTTACCCACTGAGCCACCCAGGAGCCCCTAAGCCTAGTTTTTCCTTAGTCTACCGGATGGCCGCAATTAATGACCCAAGCAACACACCTATGGCCTCATTGCCAGTGGGGAAAGGAATGTGTGTCCTAGGTAATTTCTGCACCTTTCTCTAAAAGGGGGCATGTGTAGCAGAATGTGTTGTGCCAGAGCAAAGCCATCCATGAAGGGATGACCTTGAGCTCAGTGAGCTGAACTGGACAAGAGAGCAGGAGAGACTCCAAAAGGGAAAGGGACTGAGAGGAGAGCCAGAGGAAGTTATTGTCTGAAAATTCTGGAAGGTAAAGTTGGAAAGGTCTTTAGTTCAGGAAATGGATTTCCATTCATAAACTAACTCCATTTAATGGCAGTAACAGCCTGGAACCCAGAGATGACAAGGATAAAGAGAATGAGTCCAGGCTCAGCATGAGAAAAAAATGCCATGGTCAATTATTGATGTCTGTCTGGCCTTGGGAGAGAGGAACAAAGGGACATGTGACATATGTTTGCCCTCCCTGAATTAATCTCTCCTTCTCATTCTACAGAAAGGATAACTGAATCCCAGAGTTGAGAATCAACTTGTCCAAAGCCACATAACAAATCAGTGGCAGAATGATTCCCAAACCCACACATTGCTCTTTCTACTAAGCCATGTGGCAGAAATGACATAATCAGAGAAGAGAGGTTTTCTCCGTAGAGGAGTATTGTCGTTCCCCATCAGCAGGGTAAGGAAAATGAGCACTGATCCAAGATAGGGCAAGCTTTGATTTCCTCATTAGCCCTGTGATGCTGGGGGAAACAGGCTCTTGGGGACTCAGTTTCCTTACCTGGAAAGTGGCAGGGAAAATAGCTTAAATGCTCTCCAAGAGACATCATAAGATCCCATGATACTTGAGAGCAACTGAAGAGCTATCTTACAAACTGATAACAGCTGTGGAAAGAAATACACATGGCCACACAGGCCTGGAGTGTGTCTCAGCAGGACTATGGACAGCTCCCCAGTCTAATTCTTGTCTTCGAAGAACGGTAGAGGCCAGTCTAGCACTTCAGTGTCATGAGGCTTCAAACGGGGAACTTTGGTCTCATACATGATTGCTCAGTCATACTTCAAGACTAAACCCAGTCATAGCAAGCCCGAGGAGATGGCGGATATCACAGATCCCACCCATTCCCTTCCTTCCTTGCCAGTCCTATTGCCCTGGAAACAAGAGTTTGCTCCAGGGACAAACTAGAGGGATGAAATTTCAGGTGATGGCAGACCCTTCTCTTCTTGTTCCTGCATCCTTCATTTCCTTGAACGATGCGCCTGTACCCAGTTTAATAAACAGCAACTGGGGGCTTTTTATGCATAAGTACAGAGCCAGGCTCCATAGGGAGAGAGAGATGAAAAGTATCTGGTCCTTTCCCTTAATGAGTTCATAACTCCAGAGGAGGAGACACACATCTACACAACCAAACAGGCAAAGAAGAGCTAGATAATGCCATAATCGAGGCAAATAATCTCCTGAGGGAGATGAAACACTTGGGGGTACACGGGGAGGAAGGTTTATCCCTCTTCTGAACTTCCCACTGCAATGAGGCCATGCTCCCAGCTATGGCTGTTTAGCAGGGCTGCCCTCGCACTTGACTGTGAACTCTTGGAGCGCAGGAACTATGTTTACAACCTGCTGTCTTTCCAGTCGGCCAACCACGGCGCTTGAGAAAAAGAAAGAATGAACTAAATATTTTCTACTGGATTATACACACTCCTCAAGGCCATGTGCAATGGATCTCTGATGTCAAGTGGTAGGAATTCGACAGACAAGAGTTTGATCTTAGACCACACCGGCTGTGTGACCTTGGGGAGGTTACTGAAATTTTTAGGATTGGCTTTCTCATGTGGAAAATGGTGACAATAGGGCCAACCTCGAAGGATTACTGTCCAGATTAAACATCAAGCTGTGCATTAAATACCTAGGGTCGTATCTGATACATAGTAAGCGTCAGCAAATGTTGGTTCCTTCCCCTTTTCTGGGCCCCTCTCCTCCCAGGACCTGGTGAGGTGTTTCAGCCAGAGCACGCACTCAACAAAGGTTTGTGGGGTGCCAAGAAGAGGTCTAGATGACTTTCTCTCTTGGACAATAGTTCTACCTCCGTTCATACCACTTCAAAGTTTTATTTTGGGAACAGTTGAGTTTGGGTGTCTCTGGTTAAGTTGTTCCATATAGTCATTGAGGAAAGTAGTTCAGGTGTGGAAGGAGGGCTGCTTGGAGCACAAGAGTACTGAGGAAGCTGGTTTGGGGGAGCACAGCTGATTTAGTCTGGAACCCTAAGTCCCCGGGGGCAAGGGTTCTCTTATAGTACCTTGACACGGTGGATGTTGGTCCCACTCATGCTGCCGCTCCTGTCAATGAGGAAGATAAACTCTCCATGGGTCTTTCTCAGGTTCGGCTGGACTGACTGAAGGTCAGGGCAGAAGTTGAGCATGATGACGGAGTGGTGGGGAATGTCCTTGTGGAGGCGTTTCCGGATGATTTCTGTCTGGAGGAGAAAGGAAAGCTCTCTCACTTGGGCATCCCAGGGGTCCAGAGCCACTCTTGGGGGCCCACTCTTGGGGGTCCCCCCACTACTCACCAAGCTTTGTCAAGACCCCACTCATGCTTTGTAGAGAGAGCCCAGGTCGACTGCACCTGGCTCTTCCGTGTGCTAGACTTTCCCAGTTGCTTGGACTTTGGAGGCAGAAAGACCAGGGTTTAAATCCCAGCTCTCACCATCCAGCTGTGTGATCTTGGGCAAGTCCCTCCTCTGGGTCTATTTCTTCATTTATAAAATGGGGCAAATGACATCCCCTTCTCAGGGAGGTTAGAAGATGACCCTGAGCAGGAAGTCCCTGCACAGGTGCAGGCTGGAAAGCATCTTTCTGTCTTTTGCTCCCAGTGTCTAAGCCGCTGGCCTGCTGCTGCTGAATGTTGTTTCCGGATGCACCCATTCTCATTTCCTCGCCCTGCCCCTCTCTTCCCCTCTCCACCCCGATTTCCTCTCTCTGTCTCTGACTGTGCCTGGGTACCAGCTTCTCTGTGTCTGTTTCTCTGTTTTTATGGGAGTCCCTTCCTCAACTCAATCGATGACATCATCACACATGCAGGTGTTCAAACCCAAGACCTAGGGGTTGTCCTTGGTTCCTCTCTGTCCCCACCCCATAGATCCACCGTTCAGCAAAGGACTGTTAGTTCTGCAGCTAAGATGCATTCTGAACGTGTCTTCTGCTTTGTTTCCACTGCCACCATCCCAGTGCGGGACAGTACCATTTCTTGTCTGGGGCCTGAGTGTCCTCTTTCCACCACTTTAATCTCCCTATGGTCCATCCTTTTTTTTTTTTTTTTTTAATTTCATTTATCTAAGAGAGAGGAGGGGGAGAGAGAGGGAGAGCATGAGCAGGGAGGGGGCAGAGGCAGAGAGGCAAGCAGGTTCTCTGCTGAGCAGGCAGCCAGAGGCAGAGACGGATCCCAGGACACAAGATCATGACCTGAGCTGAAGTCAGATGCTTAACTGACTGAGCCACCCAGATGTCCTTTCCTGTGGTCCCTTCCACATAGAGCGGGAAGCGTGATCATCCATCCTTGTCATCCCATTGTTTAAACAATAGCTTCCCCTCATACTTTGGATCATGGGTATGAGGCCCCCAAATGCCTGTCCCCTGGCTACCTGTCCACCCCATCTTTGCCCACTCTGCGTGACATTTCAACAACTCCGACCACCTGTTTCCTGAACATGTCACCATTGTCCTGCTTCCGGTTCTGTGCATGGCTTCCCGTTCCTCACCACTCACCAGGTCTCATTCTCAGACAGACTTTCTCTAAACCCCGGGCTTAGAGCACCCACACTTATCACTCATTAGCGTATCATCCTGCTTTGTTTCCTTCATGGACCCCAGCCCTCTTCACACTCATCTTGCTCATTCATTTACTCTTGTCTGTGCTAGAATGCAAGCTTCATGAGAAAAAGGACATGCCATTTTTAGTGTTGTCTCCCCAGTGCCTAGAACAGAGACTGATATCTATGGGGGACCTAGTATTTGTTGAAAGAATAAATGAGAGGCTGAATCTGTGTGGGTCTTTTTATCTGCCACTGACCTATGTGTGCATCTCTGGGGTTCCTGCCCCCTCGCCTAGTCTCTCTGTTGTCTCTACTTGTCTCTGCTTCTGTCTGCATCTCTGTCTCTTGAACATGGTGTCTTCCTCTATGTCATTTGCCCCCTCTTCCTGATTGCTGTTCACGCTCCAGATGCTTGCCTCCTTCCTTGGTGAGGGATTGTGCTCTCCCTCCCACGTGGAACTCTCTTGCCAAAGGCCACTGCCCAGGCGGGCTTTCTGGAAGACAGAGCCCAAGGCAGCAACAGCCCCATCTGCCTGTGCAAGAAGACTCTTCTGGGAACCTGATTTTACCTCTCAGAGAGGTGGCGTGGGGGCCCGGCTCGGAATTCTCCAGTGTCTTCTCCAGCTGCCCTTATCCAATTACAATAAACTCATCACTTCTTAGCAGCTTTGAGTGATCACTATCGGTCCTGGAGCTCATGGGAATACAGGGTATTTGCATAACCAACCCAAGATGGCAAATTCTCATTTGCCTCAGGTGTCCTAGAGCTAACCGAGAAGTGCTGGCAGGTAGGGGAGACAGCCCCAGTCCTGACAGCCCCAATGACCCCCACCTGCTGCTCACATGCTATAGTTCTCAAAGCCCAGGGACACCCCCACTCTGGCCCCAGTCTCTTCTCCCAGTTAACTCATCTGGGTGAGAGGGTCCCTCTGGAAAGGCAGGTATATCCCTAAACATGGGATGATATGAGCTACTAACCCTTTATCTCTGCCATCCCTTCTATGCCCCACCAGGCCCCTCCAGTGGGATATCTAACAAGGGGGAAGACATGAGCAGGAAGCCATCTACACATTCCCATACCTCCTCCCCGCCCCCACCCCATGATCCTCTGCCACTCAGGGAAGGGCTCTTAAATCCAGCAAAGCTGCCCCCCCAGATGGACTCTAAGTCCTTAGCCTCATGTCACCGAAACCAACTCCCGAGGGAATAGTCTTCCCTCTCCTCCCAGCTTACCAGTTCTTTTTGGGTGCTAAACCTCAGTGTTCTCATTTAAAAAGGGGAGACCAGAAAAAGAAGTATGAGATCGTTCTTAAACCTGCCTTGGTCTTCAGGGCCCATTTTGGTGTGCAGGGCCATGAGCAGGAAAGATTGCTGGTAGAGCTTACAGCCTGGGTCCCAGCCTCCTACCAGGCTTCCCCAGCCCCCTAGTCTGCTGAAGCCACCTCGTACTGGTACTTCATACGGGAGGGGGCGGGCCGAGAAAGGGTCTTCATCAGGCTTTCTCCACTCTGCCTTTATTCTTTACATAATAGCAGCAAGGATCTCAGAGACAGGATGAGCAAGAGACCCATTTAGCAGGTAGGGAAAGGGAGGGCCAGAGGTAAACACGGGGCTGGGAGGGCACCTGCCTATAGGGTCCTGGGAGCCACTTGGGGTGGATTAACATGGAGAGGACTAAGGTTGTTTCTGCCACCAGCCTAGAAATGCCACCTGGCTTAGGCCCCTTGGTGGCACCAGGAGCAAGTGGCCTGGTAGGAAGTGGGAGGACAGAGTAGCTGCCGCATTTGGATATCCACCTTCCCAGAGGTGCCCCAGTCCATGGAGGGAAACATGGACAAGGATCTGCCACCAGCTCGCTGTGAGAGTGACCAAGCAAGCCACCCCCTTCCCCTGCTCAGTATCCTCATTGGGGCAGTGATGACCCAGTTCCCAGTGTCGCCCCACTTCTGCCACCACGGACGCGGCCCCAGCCACCCTCACCTGTCTCTCTGCCCTGCTGTCCTTCTTCATTCCTTTAATGAACTCCGTTCTTCCTTTCAAGTGCTGCTCAAACTCTCCCAGGGTCATGTCCCCTTTCTCCATCAGGACGTGTGGCATGTGGGGCTCTGCAGAGATGAGATCAACTCTTGGCGGTTGTCCGAATATGAGGGCAATACCAGGGACCTTGGTTTAAGAACAGGATCTTCACAGTGGGGAGGAATCCCGATTGGAAGAGGGGAATAGAATTCTTGACTGTCTGGAGCAGTGTGGGGCCATGGGAAGACTACTGAGCTGGTAGGTAGGAGAGCCTAGTGGTCTTGGATAACTCACTGACCCTCTCTGGGCCTCAGTTGGCCCATCTGTAAAATGGAAGACAGACCAGGCTCTGATCTTTTCAGATCCTGACATCTTAGGAATCCTTAAAGAGACAGAACAGTTCCTCCCTGAGTGTTCAGAGCTGGGAGGGTCCCCTTGAGCTTAGGATTTCAAAGGTCATCTGCTCAGCTACCCTGGAGGCAAAGTTCCCTAATGGGTGAATGAGACCCTAGGGCCTCTGGAGCTAGAATCTGGGCACTCAGTTCTGCCAGCTAGACTCATTTTCCAGGAGTCACTTAGTTGGTCTTCTCTTTCTGCCATATGCTCCTGCGCTCCCCCTGGTCTGGCCCACCGGACGAAGGGCCACCACTGTGTCTGCTCCCCATAGGATCAGCATCTCTTTCCTCCCATAGGCCACCCCCCCACCCCGGGGCCCGCCTGGTGCCCCCTACCGCTGGGATGGATGAGGATCTCCACGGGCCGGTCGAAGGTGTGCCTGTTGGCCAAGGTGATAATGATGCTCTTGGCCGATCGTGCAGACGGGGCGGCGTCGGCTCGGATCTCATGGGTGGGACTCTCCACCCCTGGGTGGCACAGAAATGTGGCAGAGGCTCAGCAGTCTTGGGAGAAATAGGGGCTCAGTGGGGGAACATGGAGACCCAGGTCAGCGATGAGGGACCCCCAACCTTCTGTGTAACCATGGACAGGCCTCCTCAATTCCCCCATTGACAAAATGGGGGCTTAGACGGATGGTGTCAATGGCCTTTCTTGCCCCAACCTCAGGACCCACTGGGGTCAAAGTGTTGCTTCCTCTTGGGGCACATAAAGAAAGAGCTCAACAGTCGATCGCTGGGCACCCTGTAAATGCCTTTTGTGTTGGACCATCATGCTGCTCTGGGAGAGCCCTCATTGACAAGAAACTGTGTCCTTGTATCCCTTTAAATCCTTGAGTGGGTTGGGCGGGGAGCCATCAGAACAATGGTTCCCAACTCTGGCTGCATGTTAGAATCGCCCAGGAGCTCTGAAATATTCCAGTGTCCGGCACACACCTCTGACCACTGTCGTCAGAAGGCCTGCGGTGGTGGTGGGGGTGTGGTGTCTGGGCGGCAGGATGTGAAAGCTCCCCAGGTGATTGGACCATGCAAGGTAAGAACCAGGGAGCACTGGGGGGCTGTGGCCTCTAGGGGAGGACCAAGGATGTCCATGCCCCCATGGACATCGCCTCACGGGAGCCACTGAAGTGGGCATGGGGACAGCCTTGAAACCTGCCTGGGGAGGGGCTCATCTTAGGGCCAGATGTCAGGAGGCAGGAAGTGGGGGGGTCTGTAAGGCTCCATGAGCTTCAGGATGTCTTCCATCTGGACAGGACCGCTTCCCTGCCCTCCTTTTCCTCCCTATCCCTGGCAGGTTTTGGTCTGAAGCTCTCCCTACTCTGGGGCCTCAGGTCTCCTTTCCAGTCCCAATCCAGGTGTGGGCAGCTGTGTCTCACCTGCGAGCAGGCATGGCCCACGGATCTCCAGCTGGAAGTTGAACTCATATTCCATGGGGTTGGACACGTCCGTATCCAGGAGAGTCGCCAGGCACAGTTTGCTCCAGGAGTCCAGGGAACGGGTGCCAAAGCAATGCTTGTCTTTCCTGGGAGAGGGGAGGGGAGAGGAGGAGGAGGAGGCAGGGGCCCAGTGGAAAGACAGAAGAAGATGGTGAGCCCCAGGCAGCCCTGATACCCCTGCAGCCCATCTCTCCAGGGGGCTGATATGCTCCCTCCCACCCTACACGCTTACTCCTCCTCAAGGCCTGCCTCCAGGGAGAGGGGGGACTCAGACATAAGGCGCAGCTACCTACAGTGGTGAGCCAGACGCCAGGCCTGGTGCCCCTCAGCAGCGGTGCACATCGTTCTCACCAGTGCCCCTAGAAGAGGGATCAGGGTCCCCATCTCCCCATTTCCCACATGGGAAAATAGAGGCTCCACAAGATGCAGCAGCTAGCCTAAGTTCCTACAGCTAGGACTTGGCAGAGAGTGCGTTCTTGCTGGTCAGTCTGGCTACACGGTGAAGAGGTTAACACCGCACCACCCTGCGTCTTGGCTCCCTGCCCTATTCTGTGAGCTGGGAGTGCCTGCACGAGCCGCTTCTCCAAGCCTCAGTTTCTCATCCATGAAATGGGGATGATAATGAGGCGCCTTGAATGAGAGTTCAGGGAAGGGTCCCCGGCTGAAGCCTCAAGTTTCTGGGCTCTCTTTCTGGGTCATCCTCACCCTGTCTTGGACCCTGATCCATCCCCCACCTGCAGGGCCACGCCCCCTAAGCTCTTTGCTCTGTATGCTTAATACTTGACAGAAAGGTCTCCTGGTGATGTCCCAGGATTGGGGCGGGGGAGGGGGCCATGAGGTTGTGTGTTTTCAATGGAAGAGAGCACACTGTGTGCTGAATCACATTCTATCACTTCCTTCGTCTCGCTCACTGCTGTGTTTCTGAGCTCCCTCTCTGTGGCCGTCTGCAAACCAGCCTTTGCTGGGACAGGGTATCTCTTAGGAGCATCTTATCTCCTACTTATTTCTTCCTGCCTCCCTGTCCCAACAGATAACACTGCCCAGAAGATCCTTATCTGCGTCCCTTTTTTGGACTTAGGAAAGAATTTCTCTGGGGCTCCCGGGTCAAAGGCTTGTGTGCCGCTGTCTTTGTAGCTGCTGGCGTGGGCAGAAAGTCTTCTGTGTTTGAGAGGCAGGGCCTACCAGAGCTGGGGACGTTCAAGACCTCGGTGGGTCCAGGAACACGAGGCCTGGGCGGCCCTGAGAAGCTTATTCCTGCCCCTCCCGGCTGGCAGAGTGAAACAGATGCTCTTGGGAGAAGCCGGCATCAAATCCCCATGAACCTCGAAGTTGCTCAGAGTGACACAAATAAAAATAAGAATAATAGGTAATGGGGCGCCTGGGTGGCTCAGTCGTTAAGCATCTGCCTTCAGCTCAGGTCATGATCCCAGGGTTCTGGGATCCCGCATTGGGCTCCCTGCTCAGCAGGAAGCATGCTTCTCCCTCTCCCACTCCCCCTGTTTGTGTTCTAGCTCTAGCTGTCTCTCTCTCTCTGTCAAATAAATAAATGAAATCTTTAAAAAAAGAAAGAAAGAAAAATAGGTAATTCCAAATGCTAGAGGAGGAGGAGAGGAGACTCTTCCTTCTACTGGTGGAAGTGGAAACTTTTCAGCCTAGAAAGCAATCTGGCAATACACAGTGTGTCTTTGGTGTTTCTGGTCTGATGATGGCTTGTGCTGCCAGCTTCTCTGCTGTGCCAACAGGTGTCCTCACCCTAGGCTTCAAGATCCTATAATGGGACTCACCATCATCCCTCTGACTTCTTTCTTTTGTGTTCCCAAGCTGCTATAGCCATATTAGCCTTCTTGCTCCTCCACCAACACACCATACCTATTACCACCTCAGGGCCTTTGCACTTACCACTTGCTCTGCCCTCTGCCCAAAATGTTCTTCCTCCAGCATATTTCCAGCCTCCTTTTCTTCAGGTCAGGCTTCACATGTTGCCTAAGTCATCTATTTTAGCTAAAATAGCAACTAACCCCACTCTACTCTAACCTCCATGCTATGAAACATTTAGCATCATAGAACTCACCTAACATATTACATGTTGTGAGGTTATTTCTTTATTGTCTGTCCCCATGTCCCCCCTGCCCCCATCAGAATGCCGGCCCCATGAGAACAGGGACCTTGTCTTTCTAGTTTACTGCTATATTCCCAGCACCCAGAACTGTGCCTTGCACACAGTAGGTGCTTAATTAATGCCCAGGTTGTGACTGAGGAGTGCCCTCCAGGCTGAGTTCATGTGGGAAGCTGCTATAACCCTCTCCCCAACCCCAGCTTGGCCTGAGGCCAGCATTTTAATGGTGGCCTCCAGAACTTTGTTGACACTGTCTTCTGTGTCCTTGGCTGTCCCCAGAACCTCACAAGGGTGTGTATGAAACTTCTGGATACACCTGGCTCACCTTTCCAGTTTTCAGCTTGGCTCTCACTCACCCTCATTAGGGGTGGGGGGAGTTAGGTAATGTAACTGGCCATTAATTGTGAATGTTATTTTTCTGCCAAAGCGATGCAAAGACCCTCTGGAATAGATTTTTAAAATTCACACATGAATGACAAAATACAAGACACCTCCAAAGACATCTGAATGCAGCTGGTAAGGAGGGCGTCCTCTCCCTGCATGGGACACGCTCCCCCTCCTGAGTCCTCAGGTGGGGGAAAGGGACCCAATTTCAGCAGCAGGGGCTCTAGGCTACAACCCAGAGAGAAACTGTCCTGCCCTAGGCCTGTAGTATTCCCAGCCCCACCTTGCTGAAACCCCCTCTTGTACTGGCTTTTCGTGGCTTTGGGAGAGATCTGAAGCTGGTCAGGGCCACAGGGCGTCCTGTGTGTCTATAGCCCCATCTTCTGTCACTCTGCTTCAGTTTCTCTCTGGAGTCCTGTCCTTGCTACCTCAGGGCCTTTGCCCCTGCTGTCCTTCTCTGTCGGAACATTCTTGTCTGTGCCTACCTCCCTGTCATGGCTCAGCTCCCAGCTAAAATATGACTCCCCAGAGAAGTCTAGTTGCCCCCCAGCATGGGTCCCTCTTTTATACCATCAGCCCAATGAACTTCTCCTTCATTGCACTTTTCACATCATTAATTATGCATGCAAGCACAGAAACAATTACCCACCTATCACTAGTGCTTTCTGTTGGATAATGATCTCTGCCACCCAGTTCCACATAGGAAGGAGCCACCATGGCTTGGTGCCCTCTGTATCCCTAATGCTCAGCTCGGTGTCTTGCACCTAGTAGGTGCTCAGAAAATACCTCTTGTGTGCATTATAAAATAAAGCCTGGATATTCTCATCCCAAGCTGCCCAAATACTAGAGTTTCTGGCCAATAGTGACAGGGGGGGCATTTCAGGGAGATTCTTAAGTGTTCTAAAAGTGAGCGGAAGGGAGTAATTATGTGGATGGTGGTCACTTTAGCACTGAGCCTCGTCTTCTTCTGCCTATGTCTCCCACCCCTCACTCTCTTGCCTTCATCCAACTGACTCCCTGCGGCCACCCGAGGTTCTACCCCTGGTCCAGGCTAGGCTCCTTACCCTTGGGCCTGTTGGGTGGAGGGGCCGATGCTCTCCGTGCAGAACTGAGGCACGGTCGGGGCGCAGACAGCAGGCAGCAGGACCCGCACAGCCCCGCTGGGCAGTGTTGGGAGCTCTGAGGAGGTGCTGACAAAGACGGTGACATTCTCCATAGGGGCAATGGTCCCCAGGTTGACCACAAACAGAATCCGCTCCAAATCCTCATCCAAAGCCAGCTTCCCTGGTGTGCAGGAAGGAGGGATGACAGATATCGCCTCCTGCAGAGCGTTCCCTGAGCGACAGGCCTGGAGTCAGCAGTTCTGCATATGTTATCTCTGGTTTCCTGTAACTGTGGTAGGTTTGCGAGCCCCTTTTGCGGATGGGAAAACTGAGGCTTCACGTGGGGGTGCGACCTACCCGAGTTATTTAGTGAATAACTTACTCATTGAACCGGGATCTGAACCCACAGGGGTCTGAGGCCAGGCCCCGTGTACTTTTTGCTGGGAGTGGGAGGCTGGGACCCACAAAACCCCGACAGAAGTCACATCCCCATCCCCGGACTCTGCTTCCCCTCACAGAATCACATTTAAGCACCCTCCCAGCTTTGAGGCAAGTGCGTTTGTTCATTTCTCTCCTGTTGTCTGAGAGGCCCATTTCCTCACCCCCACTTAGCTGGCATCGCTCAGCCACCAAGCCCTCCATGGAAACCTCCCTGGTCCCCACCTGGCCCTTCTCTCCCTCCTCCGACATTATCCAGACCCCTTCCTCCAGAGCCACTCCCACCTCCCACCTCCTGTGGTGGTTACCCCCGAGCCTGTCCCTGCTCTCTTCCAGCCCATGAGCAGCCAGAATAATCTGCAGGCAACTTGGTATCTCACACACGCTACTTGCTCATTAAAAGATCCTTGAACGTCTTAACGATCAGGCGAACTAACCCCATTTGATCACACATCCAATGGTAAGAATCTCTAACATCTAAATCCAAATCCTGCCTGTCAGTAACACCTGTGTGAACTTGGGCCGGTCACTCACCCTCTCTGTGCCTCGGAACCTTCAATAGCGGGCCCAGTAGCCATCGTATCAGAGACTGTCATCTCTGCAACCATGGCTCTGTTGAGCTTTGGGTGGATACAATTACTAGTTCAATTTTACAGATGAAGCTTAATTTTTTATTTAAGCTCATACCGTTTGCAAAAGATAGGATGGGGAGTCAAGCACTGGTGTGATTCATTCCACAGCCTCCAAGCTTAATGGACTTGCTAACTATAGAGATAAAGGCCACAACTCATGGGGTTGTTGCCTTTGATCTTCATGATGCTTTTGAGGTGAGAGCAGGAACGAGGTTCAGAGAAGTTAAATGATTGGCCTGAGATCATACAGCATTCCTGACTCCCAGTTTAGTGCTCTCTCTACCTTATCCCAATGCTGTCCTTTCAGTCTGCTTGAGACCCTAGCCAGGCCCGGGGCCCCTGCCACCGCCCTTCTCTCCTCCTCACCTGTGACAGAGGTGGCTCGGACACGGGTGCCCTCAAAATGGGCATTATCTATCTTGGCTTTGTCCTTGATCTGTACTGTCACGACCCGGTCGGCAATGACCGCCTCAAAGCCGATCACCGTGGTGTATTCATCCAGTGGGTACACGAAGAGGCCTGCAGGGGAAGGGCCGGCATCATGCGGGGCTCCAGCCGCACCCCGCACACTCCACCCCTGGGAGGGAAGCCAAGCCTTTGACCTGCCAGATAGATGGACGGGACTCACTGCCATTTAAAAGACAGTGGGGGACCCCGGCTGGGACCTCATGGCTCTGGGGCAGTTCATGTAAGTGCACCAGAGGCCCTGTGGGAGCAGTGGGGGCGGGGCTGGCAAAGGGACAGCTGGTCGTCTGACCTGGCCGGCTCTCACTGTGCAGGCCTTTGAGGCTCATGTGGCCAGGGTGTCTGAGTTTTCAAGAGACAAGAGAAATCTGGGTTTTTATGTGACTTTTTTTGTGTGCCAAGGAGCTGGGGCATCGGAGGAGACAGATGAAGGCTCTAATCCAGTCCCTGCCTCCCCTCCTGGCCTGGTGACCTTGCATAAGACACGGGGCTTCTTGAAGCCTTACAGCCCCATCTGTACAATGAGGCCAAGAGAGCCAAATTCACGGTATTGTCGTGGAACTGGAAAAAGAAGTCACCATGATTTAGCCACGTGTCCTGTGTTTTTATACATTAGTGCTTCTCAGAGTCTAAGAGCCCACGAGTCACCTGGGTTGGGGGAGGCGGGTCTTGTTAAAATGCAGATTCTGATTTAGCAGTTCTGGGCAAATCCTGAGACTCTGCATTTCCACTCAGCTCCTGAGTGATGCCGATGGCTTTGGGACCATTCTCGAGGGATCAAGACAGTACCTCATTTGAAGTGCCCACGAACCCTGGGGCAGCACAATGCCTGGTCCATGGCGAGCCATCCATAGACCCTGGCTCCCATCCCTCTGGGCCTCAGCCTCCTCATCTGCAAGATGGGGACACTGGTTCTCCCTGCACATAGAAAGCTCAAGGACCTTTCCCACATTGGCCAGTCCTTTGGTTTCCTGGGCCCCTAGCAAGTTCCATTTTAAGTTGCCCCCTGGAGATTTCCCTGGACAGCCAGGGTGATCTGTCCTGTCCAGAAGTTTTCTGAGGAAAAGTCAGTTTCCCTACAGTTTCCTTTGGGGACTGAGATGGTTGGGAAAGAGGGTGGTACCCCAAGACATGAAACCTGGGGGTTAGGAAGTCCTCATTGCTTAGATCGAGGAGGAATCCTGGCTGCAACAAGGGTTTACGCAGCCCCTCCCAGCCAGCCTTTCCGTGACCCCCTTCCTTAAGTGGGGAGAGAGGCAATGGGTTGACAGACTTCTGCCGGCCAGCTTCCCGTCCTCTCTGGACTGCCCCGCACGGATGACTCATAGTCTCATGCTGCTTTTCATTCCGCGCGGTCCTTCCTCGCGCGTTACCTCATTGACTCCTCCTGCAAACCCCTGCATCCAGATAGGCAGAGAAGCATCCCTATCTGGATAAGGACAGTGGCTTCCCCAAGGTCACAGGGACAAGAGCGGGAGCTGCTACTTCTCTGTGGAGTTTGGTGCCTCTTCTACTGGGAGGCTTCCTGAGAAAGTGGGGGGACCAGCCATTTGAGGAAGGTGGGCCTGCTTGTGGGATGGCAATAGTCCTGGGACAGCCGGCTGGGGCTGAGCCCAAATCCTGACCTGGTGTGTTACTGGCTTTGAGGCCCGAGGGGCGGAACCGCCATTCCCATTTCACAGATGAGCAAACTGAGTCTCAGAGAATGAACATAACTCGTCCTGTGGATGGGCTAGTACTTGTCAAGGTGAGGATTACATACAGTGGACGGGGGCCCTGGGGAAGACGCATCAGGGGTCCTCACCCTGGAAGGGCTGGGCTTCCAGGTTGCCATAGGTGAGAGAGGCAGTCAGACCCAGAGCATAACCACTGACGAAGGACGTGACGTCAGAGGCGGTGAGGGGCAGGGCTGCCCCTGTGATCTGGTTCAGCAGACCTGGCATCCCGCTGGCTACTCAGCCTTTAGGGCCTGTAAGAGACAGGAAGGGCGGGAAGTGGGGAGAGGTCCCCCCATCCCTTTCCAGCCCAGGCCTCCCCTTCCATCCCCACAGGCGGCCAGCATTCTCCCAGTTCTCCCCACCCCCTTTGTGGGAGTCATTCTTGCTTGCTCTCAATCATCCTTGAGAGAAGTAGGAATTCTGTTTTTGTCCATTTCACAGCAGAGAAACTGAGGCCCGAAGACAGGGGACCTGTTTGGGTTCACTCAGCGGGAGGGAACAGAGTCAGGGCCAGAGCCCAAGCAGGTTCACAGCCAACCTTCCCAGTGGACAGTGCTCCTAGAGCTCTGGGTGGGAGTCCAGGGACTCAGGCCCTGACCCCATCCCTTTGTCAGTCTCTTAATCCCTGAGCTGTGGCTGCTTCCTCAGCAGAATGAGGGAATGGGGCTAGCTCACCACATCCCTCCTTCTCTGAGGGCATCTAGAATAATCTACCCACCACGTCAGCACGGGTTGTGAGGGGAGTGAGGGTACCCCCAAAAGATACTCAAGTGAAAGGAGCCACCTGATTCCTCCAGGTGTGTAGGTCAAAAGGCTGGGAGTCATCCCTGGCTCCTCTTTTTCACCACTCGCCCCATACCCAGTCCACAACTAAAGCTTGTGATTTATCTCTGCAAACGCCGGGGCACCCATCCCTTCCCCACCACAGGCATGATTGTCTCAGCCGCCACCATGTCTATCTGGATGGAGGTTCCCAATCGACCTCTTAAAGCTACCGTCCCTCCCACTCCCATCCATTCTCTCAGTGGCCAGGCCCCCAGAGAACACAGCCACTGGAGAGTCTCCATCCCCTGCTGCCTGCTCCTGGGGTAGAGACCCAAACCTGGAAGTGCCTGTGAAGTCCGGCCCAGCTGGCTTTTCCTGCGGGTCACCGCATCCTCACACAGGCCTCGTGGCTCTCCCAGCTTCCAGTCCATTCCTCAAACGTGTCCTGTGATCTCCCGCCTTTGTCCCACCATTCACCCCCAAAAGGCTCACCCCTCGACCTACTTTCAAACTAGTGACTAGTAACCTCCTTGTTGTCCTTCAGTGTCAACCAAGGGTCACCCCGATGGAAGCCACACCCCCCTCTCCTACTGGGCCCAGTGTCCTCTCCTTCCACAGCCCTCAGAGCTCCTCCCTCCCTTTGTAAGGATGCTGTGTGTTGTGCGAGATTATTCTGCTGCCGGCCGTCATCCTGTTTGCAGCCTGTGCTCCTGGAGGGATGGGCTGGGTCTCTCCTCGCTCCCTGTCCTATCCTCGGTGCTGATTAAATGGATACGGGAATGGATGACTGGACTTCTCAGGACAGGGTTGTGTCCACTGTCTCTTGGGGTCCCAAGACCCTCCCTGGGTCATCACTGTGCTTGAAGGGTGCACTGGGAATGGGAAGCGAAGCCAAAGGGTGGGGAATACAAATTTGAGGTCAGACTTGCTCCAAGTCCCCCCGGCCCCCACCTGTGGAGCTGAGTTGGGCCAAGCTTCTGCTGCTTTTGTTTGCAAGGCTGTTCGATGTATGCTTATTACTCTGCCTTTTCTCAAAGAAGGGAACTCATCCCCTTCAGGTCCTCCTCAGGTCCCCGCTAGGATCCTCTGGTGCTCCCTCGCTCTCTGTCTAGCAGCAACGTCTTTTTAATTATGGTCTCCCTTGGGGCTCTGGCCCAGACGGCTCTCAGCCCTGCCTTATCTGGGCAGGCTGGCTGACAGCGGGAGGCAGATAAGGAGCTAGGAGGGGGCCGCTGTATCCCCAGCTGCCTTCTCTCAGGAGCGTTCTGTCCCGGTGGTGGCCCAGCAAAGCCCGCCTTCTCCCAGGGGACAGAACGAGATGGCGGAGTTCATTTCCTCAGCCACGCCTGCTGCCACACACCCTCCCCCCCCACCCCTCCTCCTCAGCCTGGGTCACCCCTGGTCAGAATGCTGACCAAGGAATGCAGCTTCAGGGAACCAGCGCCCAGCTGTGTGGGGAAACTCGGCCTTCAGCTTCAGTCCATCCCAGGATGGAGTCCATCCCAGGAAGACGTCCCTGGGGCATCTTCCCACACTGTCCCTGGAGCCCACGCCTAGAGCACCTTGCCCAGGAGGTGGGGGAGGGTGTGGGCTCACCTGGGAAGTGGGGCTTACATGAATGAAGTTGGTAACACGGGGACAGACTCACTCAGAATCGACCTTTTAACAGTATCAATACCTTCCCTTCTTGGGAAGAGGAAACTTGAAATTCTTTGGGCCCTAAACAATGCACATTTTCCCCCAATTCATCCACACTGATAAAGACTTACTGTATTCTAAGCCCTGAATTAACCACTGGGGGTAGGAGGGTAAGACGCAACTCTGACCTCAAGAACCTTACAACCAATCTAGCGGCAGAGGAAGGGGAGTAGGGGGAGGCCTAGTAATGACAGCTGGGATCTATCGATTAGGAAACACCCCAGTTGTAGGAGGTCCTCGGGGTGACTGTTGAAACCAAGACTGTCCTGGATGGTAAATCTCCAGCGATTTACTGTCCTGTAAATCTCCAGCGATCCGTGTCCTTTGGGGAGGCCTCTCTGGAGCCAGACAAGCCCAGACGTGAGTCCCAGTGCATAGCTGACTGCTTCGCTCCCCAACGTGGGGACGTGTTAGTCCCCTCATGCCAGCTCCCTCATCGGCAATACTGGGTGAGCAGAGGGGCCACTGCCTGCCACCTCACCAGCACCGTGAAGATCACAGTGAATAATGTATAGAAAGTACCCAGTCCGGTGCCTGGCACACACTAGGTGCTCAATATTTACACAGTGAAATGAATGAATGAATGAATGAATGATAACGCCAGGCCGGCAGTTTCTGTGTTCCTCATTCGCCCGGCTGAGAGAGAGACGTCCTCTGACCACCAGGCCCAGGACGGCTCTTCAGGGAAGAAACTGATGTTAAATCCATTAGGCTTCCATCTCATTTTCATGTCAAGGCCTCAAATACGGTGTCACTGGCAACACCAGGGTCCCAGCTTCTTCTACCAGACGGTCTGTCTACAGGGGACGCCATGACTCTGTGTCCCTGGGCCAGACTCTGGCCACCCGCCCCGCCCTGAGCCTCCCACTGTGCCTTCTGTGACCACCACACTGGAGCCACCGGACACCCTGTATCTTGGGTCTCTCCTGGGGTTCCCTCTGAGTCCTTGTCCTAGGACCTGCTTCCCCTGCAGCCCTAGACAGGAAGGGCTGCTGAATCCTTGTCACCCCTGAGTCAGGAGTTGGGAGAGATGCCCTCCTTGGTCTTAGCTGCGGCTCCAAGATCACCACTTTTAATCTGCTTATAAAACCCATTCTCGGGGCGCCTGGGTGGCTCAGTGGGTTAAAGCCTCTGCCTTTCGGCTTGGGTCATGATCCCAGGGTCCTGGGATCGAGCCCCACATCGGGCTCTCTGCTCATTGGGGAATCTGCTTCCTCCTCTCTCTCTGCCTGCCTCTCTGCCTACTTGTGATCTCTGTCTGTCAAATAAATAAATAAAATTAAAAAAAAAAAACCATTCTCCATGGTGGGGATTGGGGGGAGGGAGAGGGCTGATGCCCTTTGGCTAGGCACCCCCCACCATTGCTTGTCATTCCCAAGGTTTTGGTTACACCCTCCTCATAGCAAACACTTGGCCTCTGACTCCTATCTTCCTCCGCTCCCCAAGCCCTGCCATGAACCTGGTAACTTCATAGTGATGGTGTGTCCAACTCCCTGTGCTTTTATCCCTTGCCCCCGCCCCTCCAAAATCTTTGCTCCCACTCCAGCTCAGCTTGCCACTTCCACTCCCACACCGTGAGCTTGGGACGCCACCCTGAAACCGCTCTCTCGGTCACATAGGTCGCTCTAAAAATCACAACTCCCAGCACTTCTGAGCCCTCTTTCCTTGATTTCTCCTACACACTTGTCACCGTCTGGCGTGTTGTGTATGCTGGTTTGACGTGTCTCCCCAGCTCTCCAGCGCGTCATCCCCAACGAGGGCACGGGGACGGCTTCAGTTCCTCCACTGCTTAACCCCGCTACCAAAAGAATAATGCCTGGCTCTAGTAGATGCTCAATAAATACTTGTGTTTGAATGAATGAAACGTCACTCCACAGGCTTCATCTATAAAGTCTGGCAACGGCCCTCCAGGGTAGGTACTCCTAGCATCCCTGTTTTATAGATGAAAACACCAAGCTCAGGGAGGTGAGGTAGACTGTCCAAGGTCACACAGCCTGTAGGTAACAGGGCTGGGAGCTGGACCCAAGCAGAAGGACCACAGAACCCAAGTGCTTGCTTCGCTGTGCGGCTGTGCAGCCTCCTGCTTAACCTGCCCCCCGAGCTGTGCCGTTTCTGTCCAGGCGCTCTCTTGACATCCTCCTCTTCTCTCCATTTCCACCACTGCTGCTTCCCTACTCTGTCCTGGACCATCTCCACCATCTCTGACTCGGTCCTTCAACTTCCAGGCTGCATCCCTTCCAGTTCACTCTGTCAGCTCAGGCACGTGTATGTGCTCGCGCGTGCGCTCGCACACACACACACACACACACACACACCCGGCACGCACCAGTCTCCCTTTACGCCGAGCGTCATGGCCCCTCATCGCTTTTCTCTGTTGGAACAGGTTAAACCTTCAGCATCGCATTCTGGGCTCATCCCCATTGGGTCCCCATCTCTGTCCTGCGTCACCTCCTGCCTCGTTCTGCATGGTCACTTTGTTGCAGACACCCTGACCTTGTCACTGTGCCCCGGACGGGGCTCTTTCTCACTCTTGGGGTTTTCCCTGAAAAGATGGTTTCCTCCTTCTCTGCCTTTCAAGGACCTGTTCAGCCTTCAAGGCCCAGTTTCACAGCCACCTTCTCTCTGAAGCTTCCCTCCCCGTGCGGTCCCCAACACCCCAGTCTATCAGGCACGCCCTCCTCCGGGGCTTCCACAGCCTCTGAGCACCTGTCTGTCGCAACTGTCATCCAAAGCACAGTAACTTCTCATCAGGGTGCCTGGCG